AGGGACTATTCTCAATTAATACCTTCTGGGAAAGGGAAAATCAACTGTCTCTAATGGGAGTATAACTGGGTATATCAACCACACTCCAGGGTAGGTCCCGTGCGTACATGCTGCTATTTTGGGAGGGGGTGTATTAGCCGGGTTTTATTGTTTTGTGTGCGTGTGTGTGTTCGTGTGTGTGGTGTGTTACTGGGCTTTTGTTTGACATTTGGTTTATTGTTTTGTGTGGAGGGAGGGAGGGAGGGAAGGAGGGAGGGAGGGAGGGAGGGAGGGAGGGAGGGAGGGAGGGAGGGAAGAATGCACGTGGGAGTATGAAATTGTGTGAGTAGGGAGGTGGGGAGGATCTGAGGAAGGAGAAAATATGATCAAAATATATGCAGAAAATTTCAACTAAAAAAAAGAAAAAGAAAAAAAGAGAGAGAGAAAATTTCTACAGCCTATCTATATGTTGCTGGGCATCAGAAACGTCACGAGTCTAATACAACATTACAAAGTCAAAGAACTGAAACAGCTTCAATAACCTATGTCAGGAAGCTTTATTCAGTGGTTCTTAACCTTCCGTATGCTATGACCCTTTAACAGCTTTTGATGACCTTCAAGCCAGAAATTTTATTATTACTCTATAACTATAAATTTGCTACTGTTATGAATTGTAAGTATGTTTTCTAACGATCTTAGCTGACCCCCTTGAAGGGGTCAATCGATATCCCCAAAGAAGTGGAGACCCACAGTCTGAGAATAACTGTTTTAAATGGAAATTTGTATATAAAACAGCAATGGAACTGAAAATGGAAAATATCTTCACAAAACTCCAAAGTCACATTTATTACAATAGTTGACATTTTAGCAATGCTGTGAGCAAACAATGTCTTTTCTAGGACAAATGACTAAATACATGAAGAGAAGAACTCACAACTTCTCATGGTAATGATATACAAAAGAGGAATTGTCTCTATGCAGTGAAACCAGCAGGATTTTTAACACGAAAACAGAAACACTTGAACCGAAAGTAGAACTCAGAAAAAAAGACAGGACCTGGCTATAAGGTAAACTAGTCCCTCCTAGTATAAAAACAAGACATCCATGTGCTCTGAACTGATACTGGCAAGCTCTAGCTGTACAGTGAGTGCAGTGATTGGTGCTAACAGGCAAGGAGCCAGAAAGAATTACCCTATGACCTCTGCCTTAGATGCTACTAGCTCCTGTGGGCATCTATAATTTAAATAACAGGTGCACTTTACATTCAGAAGATTTTAACACTGACTCAAGACAAATGTGAAACATAGCCATTCTCTGATTAATATCAATTGAGATATATTTGCAAGAAATCTCTAAGTCTGGTCTGAAAGTATAAAATAACCATTTAATTAAATTAAAAAAAGAAATCCACTGCATAGATCTAATTTTTAGCCTGAAGATTAAATCACAAAGTACTGAGGCTTCCCAAACATGGATGGAAAGGGTTAGAAGCTACATCCATGCATGAAGACTAACATGACACCAAAGACCGTGACCAAGGAGCCTCCAGAGCAGTTCCTTCCAAAAGTGAGAACTTACAACAGGATTTTCTTAGAGCATTTCTCACCTTGACATTTAAATCTTTGACCTAAAAGATGATATCCAATTATCAAATAGTCACTGTTTGTCTTACAACAACAGTCTGTATTTTGGTTTTAAGAGTGAAAATCTACAATAATGCTAAGTAATCACATGAAGGTGTTTGTTGTTAGGCTATCTCTATTAATTTAATGGTGGCAAGATGGAGGCAAATGTTGGAAATCATCTGGGCTCATTCCCCAGCTCCATTCAAACCACAAGCACAAAAACCTATCAAACCAACAAATCTAGAGGAAACTATCACTGGGAGGGGGTGAGGAGGAAGGAGGAGGAACCTGTACACATTCTACTTCTTTGTTATTTTTGAAGTTTTCATAAAATTGCCAAACAAAATGGACCTTTCAGCTAGTGCAGTTACCTCTAGTGAGGAAGAAAAAAAAACATATTCAGGTTGTGTGGCAAATGTACCATGGTCCTTTTCAGACCTACCCTACCTTTGTTTGCACTGTATGCTTCCCAGTCAGTAAGGCAAAGAAAGGAATAATTCCTACTTCAGTAAGTACTGACTAATCCTCCTATATAAATTCAATGTATCCTTGAAGACAAAGCAAAAAGAAAATTTTAAACATTCTCCCCTTTCTACACTACTCACTTTCACAAGTACCAGTAAACTGTGTAACAGTTTCCTCAGAAATTGTAACAATCCAACTGGCAGATACCTCCTTATGTCAAAGGTAAGCAATGAAACAGCATCAGGAAGTCCCTGAAACTGATCAGATTGAGTAGGCTCTTACCAGAATAAGCAATAAAAACTGAGAGTTCCCCTTACAAGGAAGCTGACCTGCAAAGAAAACTCTCAGACCAGAACAGCTGCCTGGAAGAGGTTTACAACCACCAAGACACCTGGAAAAGACTCTCTCCAACCTGTTAAGCTGCCTGTAAGCTGTGTAGGATGCTTTGGGTTCCCTGCTTTGTGAGCTGTTACCCATGGTGGGTTGGCCTATGAATCGTTTCTGCTCCTGTAAGTAAGCCCAATAAAAACTCATTGGTTCACTAAAGTGGGACTTCAGTGGTATTCATACCTTACTGTTGTGGGATTCCTATTTGGGGTGAGTAGGTATGTGTATTATACCTCCTAAAGAACCATTTTGTCATACAACTACTTCTAATAGGAAAACGAGCTGTGTACTAGTATGTGCAGCATTCTCCAGAATAATGTCTATTCTCAGAGCAATGAGAACACTCCACTTGAGAATGATGAGCAGAACAAACTTTACTCTGCTCAATTTCCAATTCTACTGAAACTGCTATAAAGACTTCCAAATTCAAATTTAATTTTATGCACCAAAGAAATACAATGAATCCAGTAGACTTAGAAAATCTAAAGTTGGATTTCTTAACTGAATGTTTATTATTTCTGTGTATAATCTCTGCATGAATGTGTGTGACTTGATGTTGGGGATGGAACTTAGAACTTTGAACATGCTTGTCAAGCAAGCATTCTGGTGCTGAGCCATAATCTCCAGCCTTTCATTTTCTTTGAGGCAAAGACTCACTATCTAGCCCAGGCTGGCTCTACCTCAGGATCCATCTGCCTCAGCCTCTCACATGCTAGGTTTACAGGCATGTGTTGGGACTGTGGGCCATTTTATAAAGCAAGAGTCAGTGTAAGTAATACTAATTGTCTCTTAATTTTTGAGAAGGGCTGGGTTAGTGGCCAGCAGTAATAAATGGCCAAAGGCTTAATTAGACCATAATATTGTTTCGGCTGTCTTCATAATTTTACTTAAGTTTTAAATAAAGACACAACTTGGGCTTCATTTAATACCGCCTACCACCACATTAGGAAATAAAACTCTGAGCTACTGCTCCAGTACGGATGTCTGTGTGCTTCTCACCATGATAATCAGGGACTAAGCCTCTAAAACTATAGGCAAGCCCCCAAATAAATGTTTTCCTTTTGAAGAGCTGCCTTGGTCACGGTGTCTCTTCACAGCAACAGAGCAGTAACTAAGACGGCAGCCACAAAGCCTTACAACCTGACAACCTGAGTCCCATCCCTGGTCGAAGGAGAGGATCACTCCCTTCCAAGCTGTCCTCTGACCTCCAAGTGCTTAGCTTTCATTTTCCTCTAGTAATATTCTTCATAAAACGGCATTAGGGTTTTTTTTCTTCTTCTATTATCAGATAAAATTCTGTTTGTACAAGTGAAAAATAAAAGTTAAATGAAAACTGCAAATTACTCTAATTTCATATTGACAATCAATTTGTTTCATAAAAATATTACATAAGTTTCTGAAAACCAGAATTGCTTTTTTACATCAAATTCTAGCACCATGATGTAAATTAAACATAAAAACAAGACCAATAGCAAATGTCACCCAGGCCTGAGAAAAGAGAAGCAGCGTTACAAATGAAACCAAGGAAACCAGTGCTTCCTCAACCGTGCATGGAACATCGCCATGGCAGCCGGGGGGTGTAGCCATTTACAAAGATGTTATGAATTGGGACTGGCAACTAAAAACAATGAATTAAAAGCTAAATTTATACAACTTGAACAGCAATCTAAGAAAAAAAAAAAAAAAACCTTTGCTAAATATGGGAACAAGGCAAGAAAGAAACAGCTTCAGATGGTACCACAAATAACAGCTACAAAGCAAGAGTGTCTCAAAATTACTCTAAACCCTGAATTTAACACTGGACTTTTCAGTACAACACTGCACTGTTCAGTGGACCTGGTTAGTTAGGCAGGCTCTCCATCTAATCTGTCTGGAGCTACCACACACATCCATCTCCTGTTCATCATCAAGAGGCAACATACTCAAAATCTTTTTTCCATACAAACAGCATTGGTATTTCATTGCCTGGACTAATTTCCCCAGGGCACTTAAGAAGAACATATATTCAGGGCAGTAATAAACCAAGAATTCAAAGAAAGTAAAATGCATATATTTAAGGAAATACTGAACTATTTTCTTCTAGTTACAGATAAATGACAAGAAGCATATGAGTATGTGCTTTGTTTTAGACTTAAAATTTTCACTTAAGAACAGGAAACCTGTGGCTCAGGAATACTCTCAGCTCTTTAATAACCAAGCACTTCATTCTTATTTCCTAGAATTTAACACAAAGACTCACATATGTCATATTTCCTGTAAGGAAATGGTGTGCCCTCAACACAGAACCATGGCAAAATCAGAATTCATATTCTTTAAGATGAAAGGCATTCCTCAGATAGTCCTGATTCAGCAATTTTACAGCTACAAAATTAATTCTGCTCTCAAACAGCCAGTGACCTTAACATTTTAAAAAATATTTTCACCAGAGACTGCAGTGAACATTTACCAATGCCCACATTATTTCTGGCCAGACACGCGAAACACCAGTACCTCTCAGTTACCACATACTTCCCCCTGCCAGAGAAAAGAACAGCTGCTACTCACTGGAAATCTTTGGGGTCCCACAGCAGGCCTTGGCTGGCTTGGAACTGGCAGCAAGGGCACTGTAAGTAAAAAAATACATTTCAATCACTTGGCATCAGACCAGGTGGCAGGAAGATAACACATAAGCTCTTGAACAAAGTATACATTACATACACTGTGCACACAATAACATTAATAATAATCAAAGGTGTGATACAGCACAACTTTAAGACGGCTCTGGGAAATGAGACAGAAAGACACAAAAATGTACCTGAAGAAATCAACCCAAATCACTTACACAGTGACAAATCAACCTGTTTCACTTTCTACAGTTACAAAATGAATTCCATACATTAAACTAGATTGTGGTTAGTACAGTTAACACCACGATTTTATAGGCTCAATGTAAACTGAGCCTGTAGGCCACCACCTTATTTGATCAAAAGCAAATCTAGCAGAAATCCAAACCTCCCTTAAAAGTCTATTTCAACTGAAAATTTCCTGTGAGAAGACTCAGAGCAAACAGGAATCTAAAGGAAAAGAGCAGGCTATGAAGCAGAGAAAGGAAAAAAAGAAGAGTATTCTCCTCTCAGATTATAATGAAGGTGTAGAAAAGTTGGTGCATTTAACAACAGATAGACAGTATTTTTAAATCAAATACCAAATATAAAACACCCAGCTTCTCTACCAAACCATTTATAGATACTAAACAATTCCAACACAGCACAGTATGAACTGGGAGATAAGAGCTAATTCTAATGAATGGGTTTGTTAATAGAACCTCAGGGGAGTTGGCAATACTGACAATGTCTCCACTCTCTTTGTTCCAGAAAAATAAACCATGTACAGAGTTCACAGGAGCAGAACAGAACGTGGGAACAGGTGTGATCTGGCCCAATCCAGAGAGCAGTAGGATCAAGACCCAACTCCTCCCATGCACCTCATGGAGCAGAAGGGAACTTAAAATTTTTGATGTTTCCACCAGTCTAGTTAAGCAATGAACCTGAAACTTTGGTATTTACTACTTACTTAGACAATTAGCAGCCTGTGTATCTAACAGAAGACATTTTCAATTTATTATGGTTGTAAGGATAAATATCTGGAGAATAATTTAAGCATCTATCAAACAGGTTTAATTATATTACAATGAAGTAGTCTTTCACCCTCAAAAAAAAAAAAAAACCAGACATAATTTTAAAAAGACATTCAAGGCTTGGGGACTCTATCTCAGTGGAAAAGCATTTACCTAGCACTTAGCGTAAAGGAGATTTAGTTTCAGCACCAACACCACATATATACACACATGCAAACATACTCATACACTTACTCAGTAAATGAATTTTCAGAGGGATGTAGAGATAATTCAGTGGTTACGAGTGCATACTCTCTCTTGAAGGGACTCAAGTTCATAGCTCCATGCTGGACAACTAACAACTACCTACAATTCCAACTCAAGGGATCCAACACCATTCGGCCTCCATGGACATCTACATGCACATGCACCTACATCAACACATATTCACCTAAGTAAAAAGAAGTCTATCTAGGCATAGAGATGCATGCCTTTTATTCTAGCACCCAAGCAGCAGAAACTGGCAGATCTCTGTGAATTTCAGGTTAGCCTAGTCTACAGAGTTAATTCCAGGCCAACCAAGACTACATACTAAGACCCGGGATGGACGGGCGGGCGGGCGGGCGGGCGGATGGATGGATGGATGGATGGATGATGAATAGAATGTACAGAACACATCTTGGCACTCAGCCTCTCCCAAGAGTTGGAGCTTCAAATTAAGCTTTATTAACAAAGTACTAAATGAACAAACACTGCTAGGACTTCACATGAAACCAGTAAGAATAAGGTTTTCCTCTTTCTGACATCAGGTACACGAAAGGCAAGAAACAAGTAGTATCAAAGATTCTGGTTTCATGGTGACATTGAAGAGCTTCAAACAGACTCTGCATTTACTGAGTCACTCAAGTTCCAGGATGCAAGACCTGAATTTAGTACTTTCCCAATCTGGTGACATCTAGCAAATAACACCACTTGGCCTACAGAACATTCCGGGGCCTATTTTACAGCTTCACTATTTTGTGCTTCCAACACTATTATTTCTGTTAAGCTGAAAAAAAAAATCTATACATCTTACCAGCCACCAGTTTCCCACTGAAATTTACAAGGAAATACCTAATTAACTGATGCTGGTGTAGGACAACCTTGGTGAAGTTCAATCTGGGGAAACAAAAAGAGACTTATGTTGGGGGCTCAGAGATGATTAGATCCCTAGGACCTGCAGCAATGTCACATGGCTATATAACCCAGCTGCAATCCTAGCACTGGGAAGACAAAGATGGAGAATGCCTAGAATAAGCAAGCATCTTGACTAGCACAGGCAAGGGACCCTATGTTTCCTCTCTCAACCAGTGAAATCTCTCTACCTCTGAAGTTCACCATCAAAATTCCCTCTCCCTCCCTCCCTCCCTCCCTCCCTCCCTCCCTCTCTCTCTCTCTCCCTTTCTCAGGAGTCCCAAAGTATCAAGGATTCCTCCCACTCTTCCCGAAGGTGAGTTCCTTACCAATCCCACTGCTATTCCAAACTCAGACCCAAGCCTCATACTACCTAGAGCTTCAAGTATCTCATGCTACCTCCCCTACTTTGCAGAATCAGTTCCTGAGTCATCGCCACCATCTTCGGAACACTCCATTCCAGTCCCACTGCCACCTCTGGAAGAAGGTGCCTGCCTTCCTGTCCATGTAGCTGTCAACACTCCATCATCTCTCTCCCTCCAGGAGCAATTTCAATAATTTTCTCCCTGTCTGATATCTTCACAGGACTCATCAATTTCAGGCCCTGCTTATCCACTGCTCTGTAAACATAGCTGTCTATGCTAAATCCACAATAGGAGGTAAGCATAGCCCGTGACACAGCATCATGCCGGCTCTCAGCTCCAGTTGTTTCCTCCAAATGTGGGAATCACTCCTGATCTGCCCCCAGAACATGGCTTCAAGGCTTCTCCTCACACTCTTCCACATATTCTATTCCCACACTTGCTCACTAGGAAAACTGAGGCCATCACAAGAACTTATCCAAGATTCTGCCTCCTACCACCACACATGGATGGCGGCCACCTCCTGTACTTACACTACTGCCCCAGATCCCATGTCTGTAAGTTCCCCATTCCTACTCCTAGTTCTCAGGGTCCTGCCAAGATAAGCTTTGCTTCTTACCTAGAACAGTGGTTTTTCACTCGTGTGCATCCCTGTGAGTATGGGACATGACTCAACCTGTTTTAATCTTTCTCAAGCCATCTCACCCCCTCTCCACCCCTCCAACAACCTATTGACAACAACTTTGTTTTAGAGAACACTATGGAAAGAAAGCCTGTCAGTACACAACAGGACCTTCCCATTCTAGGCCCAATTTAGTCAGGCTCCTTCCTATCACTTTTACTTTACAATCCACCAGTAGAAATGCCGCCTTCCTTCAGCCCAGGGCAATCAACAGCCTATCCAGCAGTCACTTGCTTCCTCAGTTTCCCAGCCCACCCCCAGAGGCTCTGCCAGATTCTCTTAGTCTTCCACACACAACCCCAGCACCCCAGGTCTCTATACACCTACACCTCTGCTAATGCTCTAGGACCAGTAGCTCTCAACCTCCTTACTGCTGTGATCCTTTAATACAGCTCCTCATGTTTTGGGTGACCCCAGCCAGAAAATTACTTTTATTGGTTCTTCATAACTTCATTTTGCTACTTTAGGAATTGTAATATAAATATCCATGTTTTCTGATGGTCTTAGGTGACCCCTGTGAATGGGTCTTTGACAACCCCCAAGAGGGTCGCGACCTACAAGCTGAGAACCACTGCTGTAGACCAGCAATGTCCAACTTGAACTGTTAGCCCAGATCATTCCGACTTGCTCACTTGTTAACTAGTCACCTACATCTTCCAAGATACTCACCCAGCCTCCCATTGCCTCTGCTGCACAATCCTCTGACTCCTGGCTTTTGCAGTCATCTACTAGCTAGACAGACACTTCTCCCCAGGTACACTTCCTGGTCCATCCACTAAGCTAGTCTTCACAAGCTATTACCTTTTACTACATCACAGACTACTCAAGAAATAGCTTGTTGTTACTGAGCAGAATTGAGGCAAAAATGACACTTTTGATTTTCAGTTAGCTCATGAGACACCTATCAAGACCTTTCACCTTTCCAATTTACCCCAAATGCTAAAGGACTATTAAGCAGCTGCAATGAGCTCTAATGGCACCCTACTTCAACAACTGATCTGTTGTCACTGTGACTTCTGGTCTTGCTCTTTCCTTCTTGCACTACAACGTGCATTAACTAGTGACTCCTGGGCCAAACATGCTGCTGATGTTTCCAGTTGTCTCCACAGTAGCCCATTTTTAACTCAGGTAAGAGAATCACTACAAGTTGTTTGGTCTAACATCATTTACACAGTATAAGGATCAAATAGTAGGATGTCATTAGCAAAAAAATAGTAATAGAGCATTAAAATGATACATAAACAGAAGCACAATGACTAGAAATGCATTCTATTACCAAATGACCAGTTTCAGCTATGTGAGAACAAAAATTCCTTTTTGCCCCAGATTAATATACCATAACCCAGGCAACTCCTCCCAGGAAAAACTAAGTCCTTATATTGGCCCACACAGAGGGGACTCTGTATCACTTCTCTCCTTTTGCTAAACACAAGGTGTTTGTCACTCTTAATTACTTCAAACCCAAGACCTGTGCTCAGTATCAACATCCCCTTTTACTGTGTACCTCTCCAAGAGTTGTGACCATCTTCAATGACTCATTCTGAATGTCCCTAGAACTAACAACCAACTCAATGAACCCCTAGATAACTGTATGCGTTCCTGTAACTTTAATTTTTTCCAACGCTTGTTTTTAATGATGGGTCTTAAATACTTTAACCTCCCTTTTAGCCCACTATCCACCAGAGGTAGCAGAAACTAAAGGATACGGGGGACGTGGACCTGTTTAGAAATGGTTCTTGGGAGCAAGTCCCATCTGTGTTGTCTGGAAATGGGTAATTCAGTTCACAGGTCAGCAGTGGCAACTCAATCCACTCACAATACCTCACGAAAATATCAGCAGTCCAGTTTAGTAGTCAGGTTAGCAGCAGGGGTGGTATGACCAAGCAGGAAGAGCCAGGCCTCAGTCTCAGCACAAGTCAGCAGGAAAGAGCCAGAGAGACATCACGGAAAGTTCTCGCCTGTGCCTCTCTCTCAGCACAGTGAAGATCAGCAAAGAAGAAAGACCAACAAGCACTGTACAGCTAGCTCTATCAGCAAGCCTAGCTCAGCCTCCATCACTTTCTGTAGAGTCCTATTTATACCCTCCAAACATCACGTGTCGGCATGGTCTTGCCTCAGCACGTACATCTGTCTCAGCTATATCACGCTGCCAATCAGTCCGAGTCCGTGGAAGCACATCACCAGAGTGTTTTGGCGTGCTTCTCTCTATGTAGTCCCAACCAATGCAATGTAAGGCAGACCAATACATGTGTAACATTACCAAAGAGTCCTTCATCACGTGTCCTCTCAACATGCTTGCTTTAGCAGAACATCCTCTCTCCTGGGTCTGCTTCAGCAAAATGTTCCTTCACGAGTCTGCCTTAGTCTTTACCTGTATCCACTTCAGGAAAACACTCCTTCACCTGTGTGCCCCAACAAAACACCATCCAACACAACTGACTCTCCAAAGAACTTTCAAGTTTCCACTTCACACTCCCAACACTGTTCTACTTTCCCTCTTCATCTGCATTTCATATGCCACACAAGGCCTATTCCCAACCTTGGGTACTGACAGTCTGCCTCTGCCCATGAAGAAGCAAGAACATGAACAGAACTCTGGTCTGCTCTGCTCTCCAACAAAGCCAAGTTGCCTAGAACAGGTGGAATAGAGAGAGAGAAGCAAGTGTTTCAAGAAGCTACATATAACAGCTTCCAGCTCCAACACCTCTTCTGTTATAGCAATAAAGAAAAGATAACCTGGTTCTTCCGTGCCAGGTAACACAAACTAAAGAGGCACACCATGTATGACCTAAGGAGAACAGCTGTCACTTCCAACATCCTTGCCATGAGACATATGAAAAAAGCATTCAGAGACTTCAACAACTATCTTCAGGTTGTGCCTCACATTGAGACTGGCACAGTATATTCCATTCAGTCACAAAGACAGACAGACATTTTGAAGAAAGGAGTTTCTTCAAAGTTACAGTACAAGCTACACTGTGTCTGTGACTCCTCACAGACCTGAACATGAATCTAGCTGCTACTGGGGTGGCTTTGTGAATGAACCATACCAGAAAAGAACACGCACCTTGAACAGGGGTTACCACGGTCCCCTTGAAGTGTGGGTTGATGTGGATGTTCTTGGGCTGCTGAGGGGTCACTGGGGGAGGGGTCAGCATCATCCTTGGAGTCTCAATCTGGGGGGACATGTGCACTCCCTGAGGAGGAGAGGGGTGATGCGGGTGTTGTAAGGGGAGTAGAGGCTGCAGCTGCTGCTGCTGGAACAGACTTCTGATTGGCTGTTGCTGAGGTGGTGGTGGTGGTGGAGGAGGAGGCTGCGGCTGTGGAGGAGGGATTAATCTTGGAGAGTGAGCCTGAAAACCACCAAAAGAAAAAAATTTACAGAAATCAACATTTAGAATACAAAAGCAATGCTGATGTGCTAAAAGCTTACACCAGTTAACTTCTTAGATATAAGCTTACAGTAAAAACTTGTACATAAACTTTGTACACAGGATGAGCAATAAACTTACAAAATGTCACGCAACTCAGCCAGTCCACGGCAAAGAGAGAAGAAATGATAGCCCACACAGCATGCATTGTGAAGAAGTAAATTCTGCCCAGGAAACAAACTGCTCATAAAGAGCAAAGATACCCATAGCCTCTAAGCATAGTTAGTTCTGCCTCTCCTCAAGGGGATAGAAGGCAGACAGAAGCAATCACTAGAAACTTGCCATTAAGAAAGCATCAGGGCTACGTAGAGCTGTTCCGAGAAGATACTTTGAGAAAGTGGTATCTGGGCCAAGCCTCCATTGGAGAAAAGAGAAGCATCGTAGAGAGAGTGATAGACTATGAATGGAGAAAAATAGGCAAAAGGACTTCCTGTTTAGTTTGGGGGGGGGCATAGACCATGTATAGAGAGGGTCAATAAACAAACAAATAGAAGTACAACTTGAAGTAGCCAAGAAACCTAAAGTAGCCCTGCAATTCCCTACAGACCCATGTCTCAAGTCCCCATTGAAAGGTTGTACTGGAAGCAGCAAGCCCATGCCTGACAGGACCAGAAAGTGAGTTGGAGTCAGACAATCTGATTCCCAGAGTTTTGCTTTTAATCACTAATCAAATCAACTCTACTGCTAATTAGCAGTCAAAACACTTGTAATTCAGCTGTCTAATTAGTCCTTTTCCATGGGATCATGCCCAATTATAGAGGGTCTCTGCATTCCAAGTGAAAGATACAACATGCATGGTGAGGAAGCCCCAATGATGTCCTTTCTAGAAAAGTGACTGACTGTTCATAGTGTGAAATGGACGAGATGAAAACAGGCCCAGGCCTGTGACAGGCCATGGCAAAAGGCAAATAGAAGAACAACCACAGTCTGACGAAAGACTTCAGAGAAACAGTAAGATTAAAGTTAAGATTAAAATTAAATTGTATATGGCCTCGGCTGGCTATCTTTCCCAAGAAAGGACTTCTCCAAAGATTCAGAAATCAATAAACCTAGAATCCAGGGCATGCTAATCATTACTTTTATGCATGCAAGTGTGAACTGGAAAAGGCTGCATGTTGTTTGAGCTTATTGAGAGAGGCTGGCACTGAAATTGGGGAGGGGGGCAGTGTCCTCCCCATTTCAGATACAAGTATGTTTGTCTGGGGGTGGAATGCCCCCCCCCAACTTTCTGACAAGAAGGGAAGAGAAGAACACACTGCCCAAGAATAAAAAAAATCAATCCATTGTTATTGAGAATAGCTAAGTCATGTCATCACGTAATGGCTAATACTGAGAATAACAAACTGTTTAATAGTAGGTCTTACTATTGTTTATCTCATGATAGAAAAATACCTAAAATACCTACAGTGTGAAAGAGAAAGCTGTTTCTTCAGCCATGGGAAGTTCATTAATGAAGAAAAAGCTAAACTAGAAATACCTCAACATCCCTGATTGGTTTCTGCTGGATGCTATAAGCCCCTGATTTAATAATGTTACCCTCCTACTGTCAATACTCATTAACCTGGAGGGCCTCAGCTGAGTAGAAAATTCTGCACTGGCCTGGACTCCACCAGATACTCTAGCTGGGTGCTTTAGAGAGGCTGGCTTCCCACAGCTGATTTCTCCTGAAAGGAGAGCACAAACCCTGAGAGAGATCAGGAGAAACACAACTACTGCAAATATTCCTACCAAAGACATGGTAACATGACATGGTGGAGATGTTACCGCATGGTACAATCTTCACACAGCATGTCAGTGTGAGAGGTAGGAGGGAAAGAAAGCAAAGCAGCCCAAAAGAGAAAGGAAGTCATGTGACACCTCAGATTCTGGGGTATGAGCCATAAGACAAGCACCCAAAATGAGAGTTCACTAAGAGTGAAGTCCTCTTCAAGAAGAACAGAACCCAGAGAGCCCAGATCAAGAAACAAGACTCAAGAACAAGATCAAGAAACAAGACCCAAGAACATTCCTCCGACGATATGGAGGTGAACAGGCAAGGGGACAGATCCATTCTTCATGAGAAGTAAACAGGATCAAGCACTTCTGTGGCTTGGGAAGGGACACCATGGGCAACCTCACTGACATGATAGCCCAGTTTGGAAAGACAAGGCTGCCAAGTGCATGGCTGGTCAGAGGGTTTGGTGGCTATACAACCCACCAGGTGGTCAATCACACCAGCATCTAAAGACACAGCTACCCTGTCAAGATACAGGTTACCTTTGCGTTTTGACTAGCTGTTAAAGGTTATCTCCCACCTGCTCTCTATTTTCCTTCTCACTGGTAAATAGGCACTCATGTTGATGAAAAACTAGTCTGGGGCATAACTTGTTAACCTTGATGGAGAACCAAACAATTGCAATGTATTAAACTTTCAAGTGCTATCACCCACCTTTCCCTCTTCCCTTGGGGCACATTAAACTAGATTCTCACGCAAGGCCACCAACCACCCTTTCTACTTCATCACTTCACCAATGGTTGGTATCTGAAACACTGTTAACAGAAGCCAAGTGCAGGCTGCAAGCCTTAGAGGGTATGTGGTATACACTAGGGGCATAGCTTACATCAAGTTTCTTCCTAACACTGTCTTCCAAACGAGAAAACCATGAAGTTTACCTTTAGCTTGCAAAAGGACAAAATACCAGGACTCCTATCTTCTGAGACCTCCCAGAAGAAATTTATCCAAGGTTAACTGCATAATTCAGTCTCAAGTTATGAATGTTTTAAAAAGATATCATAATTAAGAAAAAGTGCTATTGAGGAGAAAACCTATAGAAAAAGTTTATAAAACAATCACCTATGTTAACATCAGCATATCTCAGCAGCATACTTAAGAAGGCCTCACTGATATAGGGAAGAAAAGCAGGGAAGTGTTGAGATGGATTTTTAACTACCAAATAATGAAAGGACCCAATCCTCAGTCTACAAATAAAATCTTACCACAAACGAAAATTGAGAAGCCTCAGCCATATCTCCTACTGTTCAGTGTCACTTCAGAGAAGGCGAGTGTGAACTGTGTGAATTACAGGATACACTTCCACTGTTCTAAAACTGTCAGTACTGCATTATAACACCATAATTACCACAACAGGCGGCTGTGTAGGAAGCAGGGCAGGCCTGTGCTCCTTCATCCTTCCCCTCTCGTTGTTGTCTCGCCTCTGGTCTCCCATTCCACGGCACATCAGAGAGCCTCCTCGCCTTCCTCCCCGACGGGAGCCATAGCGCCCCTGCTTATGCTGTCGCTCTCTTTCTTCAAACTCAAGCAATGCAGCTTTGGCTTCTGCAGAAAGCTCTATGTAAAAAGATGTACGGGTGTTAAGTACAGCCCACACTACACACATCTGTGGAGAGAGTACCAACCTCTAATACAAGTATCATCTATCAATCTTAAGTGCTTTCATTTTCAGTGTAGATTTAGTAAAAAAAGGTAGCCAATGTTCACAGACCATTACACAGACCATTACAGTAGAGGAGAAAACTGCTCCAGTGAGGCCAGAAAGAGAATGCCACTAGCCGGGCACAGTGGTGCATGCCTTTAGTCCCAGCACTCAGGAGGCAGAGGCAGGTGAATCTACACGAATCTGAGGTCAGTTTGATCTACAGAGTGAGTTGCAGGACAGCCAGGGCTACACAGAGAAACCCTGTTTCAAAAACCAAAAACAAACAACAACAAAAACAAACAAACAAAAAAACTCAAGAAAATGCCACTAATGTGCAGTGACACAGAATCTGGAGGAAACAAACACACAAACAAACCCCAAAAAATCCCAAGTTTTCTGACATAAATCAAAGTCAGTACTGACCCTTCTGAAGTCAAATCATTAAGAATATCTCCTGAATGGGACAGTCATTAACTGCATTTTGCTTTAAACTGTTACATTCATTAGCATATATGTCATGCTGTAAAAAGACATCATGTGTCCATGCAGCCAGCTACAGAGACCTTGTCAAATGAGAAGAAAGCCATGCCAAAATAAATAAATAAATAAATAAATAAATAAATAAATAAAAGCTGGCAACTTGAAGCACTGCAGGAGCTTCCTGCAAAGTCTATTTATGTTCCTATGTTTCACAGTGCAATGAACATGGCACAGACCCTAAAAAATCTTCCAACCACACATTATCCTAAGGGTCTAAGGGAGCCCTTTCATCCATATAGGGCCCCTTCATTTTACAGTAGTGTCTAAAATAATACTATTTAGTAGTAATACTACCACATAGTAGTACAGCCTATATTAGTAAACATGCATTTTCTCAAACTATCACCAAACACTATCGTAAGCCTTCCTTCTCCACTGAGAGCAGTAAAGTATCACTGAAGTCTACTTTGACACATCAGACTAAAAAATCTCTAAGCTATGATTCATTTTCTTGGAAATATTGATATGGAATCCCCTCTCATTCAAATGAATATAAACCCTTGGAAAGAAAACATAATAATCTTTTAACCAGGATAGATTTTTATTCTAATCTTGACTACATTATTGCTTCACACACACATTTTATGCAGTGAATCAGCAATTATTTTTCTAGTGGTTCTGAGTGTCAAGATTAATTTTACTATCCTCAGTAATAAAATGGTTTCAAATGACATCTTTAATCAGCAAGAAAAAATGCTCTCCACCAATTGAGACAAGCTGTCACAAAAGGTCACCAAAATATGACAGGATAGAAATTACATTTGTAACTTCAACTGAAATGTTAATTTCCCCATCAGTGTTTCCTGAACTATGTCCAACTCCTAAAGGGATATATCATAAAGCAACTACAATCATACTACACTATTTCTAGCAACAACATATTTGCATCCAGATAATTAGAGAGCAATTAGAAATGAATATATACTTATGGTACACAGTTTGGCAAAATAAAAATGGCAAACATCAAAAAAAAAAAAAAAACTGAACCCCCAAAGTTTTAAAACAAGAGCCATAGTATAAAACAGTTAAGAATGTGGCTACTACTAGCATTACCACCCACCAACTGTCACCGGATCTAAGGGCTCTTCCCACAGGTCTTTAGTCTCCAATGAAACAGCCAGGGTACTAGTTCAATAGCCAAGATGTAAGGCTTGCCAAGCAGTTAAGACAAAGTAATAACAAGTAATTTAATGCGATGTATGTGCCAGTGAGGTTGAACACAAAATTCAGAGACTGACTAGGAAGCTTAGCTTTAAAAAACACTTTCCCTCACAGCCATGCTGCTTTCCAAAACCACTCCAAGTCCAACTCTGCTTCCTGGAGCAAGAGAAGCCATTGCTCTTCACTTGTAGGCCGAGTCTAGAGAAAAACAGGTCAAAGTATCCTTTATGTTGAGCATGCCCTGGCATTTTCATATACAATAAACCAATTCTTTACACACACAGTCTAGCTCAACTGGGCTCTACCAGAGAACTACCACCTATGTCTGTGGCTTCCTCTGCACAAAATGATTTTATGTTCTGAATTCACAGTTGGATGATATCCTTGGGAAAGTGGAGAAAAGCACCACTTAAATATATTTCTGTAAGGTTTAACTTGCGGAAAAAATCCTGACAGTGAAAAGGGCTAACCAACTAAATAAGAATGCCTTACCCCCAAATCCTACTTTTAACCCAGCCTGAAGTAAATATCCCAATCAACAAGTAAGATTTTGCTCTTTAACAGAGAGGGTCATGTGTATGATACAGCGCTCTTCATACCTGAGACAACATCATGTGTCTCAGTGATTAAACACCATCATTCTAGATCTCAAAAAGATCACTTCACACACAAGCTTTCAGACTCAGAAATGAGAAGTACCACAGCAACTGATTCTCAAGATTAACCAAAACTATCTATCACTAAAGGAGTAAGTTGTTATTTGTGGGTTGTGGAGTTGGCTCATGAATTAACACTGGTTGCTTTTCCAGGGGATCCAAGTTCAATGACCAACACCTACACAACCATTCATAAACACCCTTAATTCCAGTTTCAGAGGATCCGGGCCCCCTTTCTGAGCTCCACACTCATGATAAATGCACATTTATTTCGGGCAAACATTCAAAACACACAAAATAAAATAAATCTAATTTTTATAAGTTTTTATTTGTAAACAAAATGACAAAAAGAAAACAAAATAATCAAATATTCAAAAACTATGCATCACTAGAGAACATAGGAACTCTAAAAGAAACACATTCATCTCAGTATAAAAGCAGAAAACTGCTTTACAATCCAATAAACTTCATCTTGGGACTAGGGACACAAAACCAAGGCTACAGGTAACACTCGAGTAAACTTCCAGCTCTCAAAGGCTGTGGCACCGTCTTCCTCACTGAACCTTCTATATGTCCATTGTCTGGGAAGGTACAAGTCCTATTAGGAAGCTCCTTCTCTCAGGAAATCAGTCTTCTGAAGAGTGGTAACATCCTTTGTGTATATATATTAAGAATGACTCAACTTGGAAAGAAGTTACTAGTAAACTTTTAAAACATTATGGTTCCTTATATTAGAACTCTAGATAAAGAAAAAAGAACTTTTAACATTTTTCTTTTGTTCAATTACCTAGCCAAATTACCACATTCTACAAAAATGCACTTAGTCCTTTTTAGAGGAAAAATACATTATCCAATTGTTTTCCCTTGTAGGACTGCTCCTAAGGACTCTAAGGCCTCTCCTCCCCATTTCCAGGGATGTGACCTGTTCATAACAAAACACCCCTCCTAGCCTTTGTCTCTGGAGAAGACTGGTTATAGCTATTAGGTATCTTGAAAAGAAAACAGATTTGACAGCTTTCAAAAAAAATGAAAGTATACATGACTCTGAAAAGAAGGGAAGGAAGCAACAGTCCTTTAAAAAAAAAAAAAAAAAGAAGATGGACCAAACTGAAATATGAATACAGGCAAGTGGAACATTCCAGAACAGCCATGCTCACATCCTCAGAAAGAGCTATAATGAATTTGAGTAACTGTGGTGGGTTGCATCTGTGTTAGTGGATGAGGGCAGCTTCGTGTTCACCTGGAGAATCTGTATATGCCCCTGAAAGATGCATGCTGCTTGCTCATCTTTAGTAGTAAAAACAAGTGTGTTGTGGTTTGAATGAGAACAGCCCTTATAGCTTAGGGAGTGGGGGAACCCCAAGTAAGTGAAGACCTGAAGGAATGTGTTATTTCATCATTTTAAGAACTCCAAGGCCAACTGCCCCATGGGAAATTGGCATGAATCGTTACACCCTATAGACCAGGCTCAAGAGGAATGGAAAAGCTTTCTGTGGAGTTGGGAGTCCAATTATGAACAACTGGTCAGTGTGGGCAAAGACTAGCAGCTTCTTCTTCCTCCCAGATGTTTGTAACCCAAGACTGCTCTCCTATACAGACTAGCTAGGCTCCCAGTTTCACTATGTTTGTCTATCTTTTCTTCATTCCCTCGCTGTTCCTAGCCAAGGTGTAAAGCCCCAAGCTTTGAATGCCAAGGCACATAGGCTCATATATTTGAATGTTTGTCCCAGTTGGTGGAACTATTTGGGAAGGACTAGTAGGTGTGGCCTTTTTGGAAAAGATATGTCACTCTGGGCAGGATTTCTGAACACTCACACCATTCCCAGTGTCTGTGTTGTCCCCCCCACCCCCGACTTGTGGATCAAGTAACAATTCCTGCTACCATACCTTTGCTATGCCATAACAAACTCAAAGCCTCTGAAACTATAAGCGTAATAATACATTTTTTATAAGTTCCTTCTGGTCATGGCATTTGGTCATAGCAATAAAACAATAACTAATATAAACCACAAACAATGGTGTTTTAAAACAATAAAGTATGGCTAGAGAGATGGTTCAGCAGTTAAAAGCACTGACTGTTCTTCCAGAGGATCTGGGTTCAATTCCCAGCACCCACATGGAAGCTCATAACTGTCTGTAATTCCAATTCCAGAGGATCTGACACCCTCACAGACACACCAATATAAAATTTTTAAAAAATTAAAAAACAAAACACACATTCACACACAGGGAGATGAGAGAGGAGAGGACAGGGGAGGGGGAAGGGAAAGGGAAGGGGAGGGGGAGAGGGAGTGACAGACAGACAGACAGACCATCAAAGCAATGAGGCCTTGACCTTTATTTTTATCTAGACGAAAATAGAAAGGCAGGTAGACCCTGATGTCCTATGAGCTTTGTCTTCCTCTTTAGAAAGCCACACTCTGGTGGTTCCTGTTCTTCTAAAGTCCAGGCAGAACCTGGGAACACACTGAAAATACAATCTTCCTGGGCAATGCATGGGACTGAAGACTCAAAATGACAGGTAGTGGTCCCAACACTGCTCTCAAAAGCCCCAGGTCACTCTAGTCAGATACTTCTTCTACCACTAAGCAACACTCCCTGTCCCTGGGGTGACTGTGACACTCCAATATGAACCCAATTATCAGTGGGAAAGGACACAGACTGTACAGAGGGGTGGGGCTAATGCTCTCAGCCAGCCACAGTCTGAGAAAGGGCTGCAGTGGGAGGAGCTTAACATTCAGTTAATGATCTCTATTAACTAACTAGTCACTGAACAGCCAAGAACACCAGGCAGAGAAAACCCAAAAGGATGGCTAGAAGGACATTACAAGTGCAAAATAAAATAAATATAGGCAAGATTTAGTGCTGGCTACCTGAGGGGCACAGTCCAGCTGAGGAGAGCCAGCACCACTGCCAAGCATTCCTGCCACTACCTCAGTACAGTCAAGAACACACACGGGAGGAGCTTTAGGTCATACACTCCAAAATAAAACAACTAAAAAAATAAATACATACTTTTAAATATTTTACTCAAACACTTATAACCCAAAAGTGTTTGTTTGGCAAAATGTTGAACATAGGACAGCTGGGCACCAGCTTCCCATATACCATACACTCTCACCAACAATCAATCATAATAAAATATGGAGAGATCTGAAGTGGAAATGAAGATCAAGGAAACAGGCCAAAAAAAAGAAAAAAAAGAAAAGAAAAGAAAATTAATTAATTAACCCACAGGCCAAAACCAAAAATTACCCAAAGTTTCTGGAATGTTCCTTCTCTCTCTAGTTACATCTGAAAGCCTAATAATTGTTCCTTCTTTCCTTTCAGTTTTAAAACGTAATCGTCCAGATTCTTCATCATCATCGTCCTCTTCATCTGATTCTTCTTTTATGTCTTTCTGGAGTTCCAGGGCTTCCATTCCTCCCTACGTGCAGACAGAAGCAAAGAGGAAGAGTGAGTCCATAGTTACTTAAAATGTACGTACATTTCAAAGTTCTTGGTAAAAGGCTATGTGAAACCTGAAGCCAACTCCAATAGGGGAAAACTTCAAACTACTCCTGCTTGTAGTTAATACATGAGGACCTCCCCACTACGGCTACTCACACTTGCTTGAGCACAGACATCTGTTAAATATCCCTGCTGCCTTACATCTAATCCAGACCACAGCAAAGTCCCACACAACTTAAGTTGTCTATGACTACAAGGTAGGCTAACATCTGTAAATCCACCACTGAGATAACACTACAGTTAACAGCACAGGACTCACCTGGTAGCTGTAATAGCAACTTCAGCCACGTAAAGCTGAAGAGTTCACAGTCCCTAACCACATATTTGATCTGTCAGGAGAGCAGTCCCTGTCAGTTTGGGGTTTTGTGGTCACTACCCCTGTCCCTTCCCTACTTACTTCACTCTTCCTGTATAGTGTTAACTCACCACAGACTTAGTGCTGAAACCAGTAAGAGACAAAACCCATTCTGGTTTTATTTTAGCAGAGTCTCTTACAAAACTTTCCTCTAGTGCTAACCCAACGTAAAGCAATGTTTTCATACAATTCTTCTTTCTGAGCTTCTATGGCCCTATCATCAGTCTCAGTAGCCCACTGGCAGATGAACACAGGCACATAAGGCTCATTTAAACATTTTCCACCACTGAGTAAAAAATGCAGCTTGCCTCTTCATTATCATTAGAGTTTTCTTTACTCTTAAAAGAAACAAAGATATATTGTCAGAAAATATGTAAGAAGCAAGAACCATGGAAAATTACTGTTAATTTCCTGTCCTAAATATTCTCAAAGCAGAAAGCTAACTACAAGTCAGACTCTATAACAGGTAGTGCAAATGGGAAAACAGATCCAGGAATTCAGTGCTGAACATGGAGACTGACACCTGACTTTCAGTCTAATGCCTATGGCTTTTCAGTGCTCTGAGGTTCAGCATGCTGGAGAATTCTGCAGCACCAGAATTCCACATTCTTGCTAGTGTCATACTACGATTTCTGAATCATTGGGTACATACAGGCAATCAGAATGAGTAGCATCTATGATGAGGCCTCAAAATGCCATTGTCAAAAAGTCCCTGCTGTGCCTCCACATGCTCGGGCAAGACTACTCTGTGTCACACCAATGATATATACCATTGTATATCACTACATATACACCAATGGCTGGAAATCTTTTTCAGAAGCAGATTCTGACCTGGGAGGCCCAGGGTGGGGCCTGAGAGTCCACATTCCTAATAAGCTCCCAAGGAAGTCAATTCCTGGATCTACAGACCATGTCAGTAATATGGCCACAGAAAAGAAATTATATCTACCAAAGCAAAAACTTTATTGCAGCAGTTATAATAACCATATTATTATTACTTCAACAGATGCAAAAAGATTACTAAAGTTTGGTGTACATTAAAAAATCACCACCAGCAAACTAGACCCAAAAAGAACATCTTCAATCTGAGAGCAAAAGTTAATGATGAACAATAAGGTGCCTTCTTCCTAGCACTAAGAAAATATGGCAAGAAAATCAGCTTTGAAGCAAGTTTTCTGCTGTATATAGTACCTGCACTGGACGTCAGTAAGGCAAAATAAATAAAAAGGATTCTGATTACAGAGAAAAAAATTAAGATGTTTTCATTAACAGATAATTTATTGAGATGTTAACTAGGGGAAGAGAAGGTCGGAGAGATAGTAGCTAAGTGGTTAAGACTACAGACTATTCACACAAAGGACCCGAACTGAATTTTCAGCACCCACAGAAGGTAACTTACAACCACCAGTAACTCCAGCACTAACAGGTCCAATACATTCTATTGGTATGCACAGATACCTGCAGTCATGTACACAGCCAAATACACACGCGCGCGCTGTCGCGCTCTCTCTCTCTCTCTCTCTCTCTCTCTCTCTCTCTCTCTCTCCCTCTCCCTCTCCCTCTCCCTCTCCCTCTCTCTCTCTCTCTCCACAAAGAGTATAAAAGTAAAACCTTTAAAAATTAAATCTTAAAGTAATAAACATCCACTTTTCTATTTATTTTTGGTTTTTCGAGACAGGGTTTCTCTGTGGAGCCCTGGCTGTCCTGGAACTCACTCTGTAGACCAGGCTGGCCTCGAACTCAGAAATCTGCCTGCCTCTGCCTCCCAAGTGCTGGGATTAAAGGCGTGCGCCACCACCGCCCAGCTAAACATACACTTTAAACCTAGAGATATATGGCCATCTCCATCAAACCCCTAGCCAGACTTCTAGTTGATACTAACAAATCCATGACAGAAAAAAACCTTAGAAAAAATTTAAGTTGGTGGATTTACACTACCTGGTTTCATTTTCCATTACTGCAACCTGCTGTGGTGCTGGCATACAGACTTTACAAAAACAAACTGGTGCAGAAGAGCCTGACAGTAAATAAAACCAGCAAACAACACAAAAACTACAGTGATTTGCTAGGAAAACTAAGCAGCAAACCAGTGAAATAGTCGGAAAAGCATTTTTACTTAAAAACCATGATAACTCTCATACCTCAAATGCTATTAGATAAGGGAGCCTCTACCTCTGAACTAACACTAGCCAGTAATACAAAGCTTCCAGAAGAAGAGCAGGGATTAATTTCACAGTCATGGGATAGTCTGAATTTTTTTAAGACACAAAATTACTTGGACATCATCCAAATTATTTTCTACTTACAAAATTTAAATGTGAGGGCTGGATAGCTCAACAGAGGATCCCAGGAGGTCTGATGAGCCTCTTCTGGCCCTCAAAGGCACTGCACACATGGCACAGCAGCATGGATGCAAGCAAAACTTCCATATACTTCCATTAAAAAATTTAAACTTAAATTTGTTTATACCCATACCACCCTGAACACGACTAATGTCATGTAAAACAAAGCAAAAACAAACAAATCTTAGAAAATAACACTGTAATCAGAGGTTTAGAAAACAATTCATAAACCATGTATCCTCCTATGGATTTGATATCTAGAATATACAGACACTTATCTAGCAACCTCTCTCTAGATTACAGACACTAAGAACATACAATATAAACTATATACAAACAAAACATACTATCTATGTGGAATATAAATATATAAATAATAATCCCAATGAAGACCTTATAAATTCTGTAGCTTATATAAACATAAGTCAACCCACTTTAAAGAAAAGGCTACTAAACCCAAACCCATGAACTACATAAAGGCCAAAAGATTATATGAACAATGCTCAGAATCATTAGCTATCAGAGAAGCAAACAAAACCCACAATGAAGCAGCCACTGAAGGGCTGAAGAAAGAAACTGGTACCAAATGAGGAGCAACAGTAAGGATTCTCAACCAGAGGAAGGGTATAAAATGACAATCACTTTGGAAAACCATTTGTTAATACCTAAACAAACAAAACACTAACACATGCTAATCTACTTCAACTATTCTATCAATGCCTATGTGATTATATGGGTTGTAGCTCAGTGGTACAGCCCTTGTTCAACCTGCCTCAGATTCTAGGTTTATACCACAGCAAACAGATCAGGGAGCAGGGAGATATCAAGATGAACTTCTAGTTTAGTCAAATTGAGGAAGGTAGGAGAAACAGTAGTGCTAGCCTCTGCAAAGCCAGGACTTGAAGGGGAGGGGAAGGGGAAGAGGAAAGGCCAGGGAGACACTGTCTATTTGCACTGTCTGTTAATATCAGGGTTTTAAGAGACTATTCCAATCTTTTCTCTGACTGCTGGGTGTAAAACAGGAACCTTTCCCTTAAACTAAATTTTACTTTTCTTTTTGCACCTTACTCTCACTCTTTGAAATAAATTAAAGAAGAAAAAAACAAGTGAAAAAGACTCTTCGCCCGGTTGTACAGGTGTAGAAGGTGTCTAATTGCGCAGGACTTGAAATGACTACTCAGATCTTTGCTCTGTGGGTGCTGGGTATAAACAGGAGCCTTTCCTTTAAGCTAAATTGGATTTTTTTGGGGGGGGGGGCGCTAAAGAAATGGCTCAGCAGTTAAGGGGGACTGGAGAGATGACTGCTTTTCCCAAGGTCCTGAGTTCAACTCCCAGCAACTTCACAGTGGCTCACAACAATCTGCAATAGGATCTGATGTCCTCTTCTGGCATGCAGGTGTGCATACAGACAGAATATTCATATTCATAAAATAAATAAATTTTTTTAAAAAGTTGAGCTTTCCTGAAGGGTAATAGGATTGTCCCCTCATCAATGAGAATAAGGTAAGACAGAAAGACGGGAAATTACGGGACAGAAAATTGTGAAACAGAAAAGGAACCCCTCTCTGATGTTTGGGGTGAGATCTCTTGCCAGTGGAAAACCAAGATTACCAAGATTCATTGTGAGGGCTGCCAACAGAAAGAACACAATATTCCTTTTATGCAGATGTTTTAAAAAACTATTATTGTTAAAATAACAATGAATTGCTTTAAGGCCCTGAGTCTGGCTTTACTCCTTTCCGAGATATTTTATGAGGATATCTTATTTTATTAACTTTAGCTTACATGAAAACATTCTAACCCCACCAGCAACTCCTATGACCTCATCAGTTGAAATCCTATGGGGGCCACTATGTGACTTATCGAAATTTTGACATTGTCAACATACACATGTTCTAGGGCTTTGAATCCATCTTAGATTATATTATCCCTTTAAATAAACTCATTAAAGTAGAAGTGTTGAATTAAAGGACAACACGCTTCAGGGCTGATGAGCCTTCAAGGACAGTGAGGTTGTGGATTATACTCCTGAAAGCTGGCAAAGTAGCCTGCCACATAATCATGGAAGATGTGAAAAGATCAAGACTTGGTAGAACTGGGCTGAGTCACGAGTCATCTCCCCAGCAGTGGCACTTCCCTGAGGCCCTGCTTGCCGAGGGCTCTGTGATCAGAGGGAACAGTACTTAAGGATGGATCCTCGCATGTGGGACCTCTATTCATACAACATAGACCTGCCCTGGAAGACTGTCCTGGAAGCCCCTTTCTTTCAAGGTCATCAGGTGCACAAGCACACCTGACTAGAGATACAACAACAAAGGACAAGCAGTGACAGGCTCACCACTACGCAGAAAACAGACACAGGAGAAATGTGTCATTTCTACTGCAGGTCCCCCATCTAAAAAGACGACATCTTCCAGTAGTCTTGGTTTTGTCAGTATTAAAATAGGTTTTAATGCTTACCTTATTGAATATATTTTCATGAGCTTATAGCTCATTTGCTTATCCCATGCGGACATATGATATATGCACAGAAATTGTTTCCCTGACAACCTTTGACCATCTCCTTGGCAGCCTTACAAGTGCTATACTTCCTGCTTTCAGGTCGTCTTGATTTCTTTCTCAAGTGTCCTTGCAGGCCTGACTAAGCTGGGTCCCCATGTGCTGGGTAGAATGATACTGAACATTTTAGGCAACCAGGCTGCCTGTGCTGGGTCTACTTTGCTATGGTTCCCTGATTAGATACCTTCTTCTACAACCATACAATTGGGGTGAAGAGTCTCTTTACACTAGCCTTAGTTTTTCTCAGTATTTTTAATTTATTTCAAAGAGAGAGACACAAAGTTCAAAAAGAAAACTCAAATTCAGCTTAGAGAAAGGCTTCTGTTTTACACCTACCCTTACAGAGTGCTAGGTGGCTTCAGTGGATATATTCTCTGGCAAGCAGGAAAGAATATTAAGAAAAGTACTAGAGGAAGGAAAAATGTTAAGTTTTAACATTTTATCCCAGGGATAAGAAAGTTTTATGGCCTGTTTCAGACCTAGACACAGTAGCTACCAGTTCTCAGTGAGACAGGAGCTCAGAATTACCAGAGGCCACTCTTCTTTCAAGAGTACTTAAAAGGTCATTCTTCTACAAGAGTCTGAGACACGGACACTCCCTGACAGGACCCTTCAGTACTCGTGTCTGATCCTCTCCCCTGGGAGCTATCATTTTCTGCTGTGCACAACAGTGATTTTCAGTACCTTCCTTCCTACATTAGCCTACAAAAGTCCCTTGGGGGCAGAAACTCACATCATCCCTGTTTCAGCACTTAAGACAGAACCTAAAACAGGTAACTTTGCATTGTTTCTGGAATAATGATGCAAATTAGCTAATATTAACTAATTAAAATAATTAGCACTGATTTCAAAGCAGTGACATAACACTTTTAAAAATCAGCCCTGTGCCAGCATGATAAACTAAACACACACACACACACACACACACCCCATACACATGCAATAATAATTTAAAAAAAAAACAGATAAACAAACAAACAAGCAAGCAAGCACGACCACTCCAGAGCACACACTTTTCACAAGTGCCAGGCACCAAAACTCACTTCTCTGGGCCCAGGTTTGGGCTTCTACTATAACGTACACAGTTCAGAGAGGCATCAACTTTTCACTAATACTTTTTATTTTTTGACTAGGTACTCATTTTAACTGGAAGGAAAGAATCTCAAAACACTGTAGAAGTTGAACAAGTACCTCGTGGGTCTCAGAAGCAACCCGGGACTCGGTAATCTCGTCTAAGTCATCTTCAGCCTCACAGTCTTCCCGCACTTGGAGCCCTTGCTGCCCACCATAAGCCTGCAAGTACTCTTCATCCTAATGGCCATTAAAGAGAAGAAACAGTTTTCTCACAAAGCTTTTGGTTGTTTTCAACCACTTTTTATGTACGATTCATGCAGAGTTATTTTAAGACATTCTACTGTGGGGATACCCTGACTGAGCACATAGCAAAGGAGCTTCCTCTACAGTCATGCAAACCAAGCATACATGCTGCTCCAGTGGTGAGAGCCACAATGCCTCGGCTTCATAGCCAAGCTCCACATGAGCAGTTCTCACATCTGCCCAAAGGAAAAAAGCCTTACAAGACCCAGGCTTGTGTGCTCACTGAGGAGTTGGTGGCAGCAGAAGCTGGTTTCTATGTCCCTCATCAACAACCTGAGGCCAACAGCAAAAGCAGGAATGGGATGGTTTGACAAAGTGTTTTTCACACATCACACTACAGTGGATTCTTCATCAAGCCTTTCTTTCTCTTGGGTGAGCTTTTGGATGAAATGGAAAGGACTTATCAGTAGGCACACTTAAACTTGTCCCTTCTGAGTTCAGGCAAGGTAGAAGACAAGGTGACCAGAGAATACCACACTGCCAAAGAAAACAGACTGATACTGGCATTGCCTACAAGTAGTAAGGTGGGAAGAACTGACCCTTCTGCTTCTCAAGATGATCCTGAGAGTGTATTCCACTTTGCACAAAAACTGTTAACATCTCATCAAACCAATATTTCAGCCAAATCCACAATGGAACAGTCTGCTATTCTTTACACAAATGGTAAATGTGAACATGATTTTAAAACAACGTTTTATAAAATCTCATTCAATACTAATTTGACAGTGAATATACTTTAATGTCACCAACAAATACTATTCTGTTAGCTACTGAGCAACAGTTCCAGAGTACAGATGGTAAAATGCAATCACACTCATCAACAACGGTGCCTGCAAAACTCACTGAACACTGCTAAGCAGTCTCCCAACATCCCGGGATCTCCCACTCTTCCCATGTGGCAGTATTCCTTCCAGTTACAAAGTGTGGTCTTATGGACGCTGTAGCCAGTTCTGCACCAAAGGCATGGTTTTGGTTTTGGTTTTGAGGGTAGGCTCTCACAGAAAGCCCATGCTTATGGGATCACATTTCAGAGTTAATTCTGGATTTGAAGAACAGGTCAACAAATCCTGACTAGGACAAGAAACCAGTTTAAACCACTCAAACTGCATACCTGTAAGGTACACGGGGACACAATCTATTCCTGTGTTTACTGGTCTAGTGGCACTATGCACATCAGGGATAGTCTGAGACAAGATCGTAACTGCTGGACAGGAGCAAAGCACTCCACAGCTTAACTCTGATTTCTTCCTACCCAGAGCAGTCAGTCACTTCTGACACAGTAACTGTGGTATCCATGAAGAGAGAAGATGATAGCTTTGGCTCCAACACCAGACACAGTAAGGTAGGCCACTACTGGTCACAGAACATTCAGGTATGAAATACTAGCATATTCAGAATTTCTAAATGACACTAAATTTCTGAGGGATTTTTTTTTTTAATTCTGAAAAAAAGCCATTGATTTTCATGTAAGAGTTCTATAAGCGTTTCAATTTAAGTATTTTATTCTTTTCAGTACCTAAATCTTAGACCACAGTATGCTAAATTATTTAAACAGATTTTGTATTATTCCTGGGACTTTATGTGGTCCTAAGTCAGACAAAGACATACATAAGAGGAAATTTTCTCACTGACTACAAGTTCTCTCTTACAAGTCCCCAAGAACTGAGTAAGTGGCTGAGCAAGCTCACTCTATCCACACTTTCTGCTCTGTGTGAGTACTTCCTCTATTCCATGCTTTTTATGGTTCAACAATATTTATATGAATTACAATTAGTAAAGATGTGCTGACTATTTAAAGAGTAGAGGACTAAAGAAATGAACAGCTAATGTTACAAATGAGTAGTAGTAGTCAAACACTAGAAGAAAACAGCACATTTTTGAAAGACCTTGGGTTAAACAAGCTGTTTAAATTACAGTGTCCCACATAAGCAAGCAGTATCAGAAGACACTATCTACTCAAGGGCTGATTACTAAAACACATCAATCATACAGGACCATAGACAGCAGGCTCCATGATGCTGTTTCATGACTCTACTGATCACAAACTAACTACACATGCTTTCGGAAGAACAAGCCTTGACTTCCTCAGACACCAAAGCCCAGTCATGACTAAGTATTTTCAGGCTCTGTAACATCAACCCCTAGTAAAGCAGGCTGTTACATTACATAAAAGACCAAGACTCGTTAGCTGTTGACTAATGTCCTCAAATGCAAGCACACACTAAATGATGGTACCACAATCAAGGGTGCTACTCCACCAACAAGGCTTCTAACACACCCCTTGTCCACTCTGCCTACATGAAACCCCAATGAAATGAAACCCTTAGGCACTGCACAATGCAGCAATAACATCTTTCCAGCATGAAAGTCACTGGTGCTTTTTTAAAACACAAACCTCTTCTGATAATATATCATTAGGACAGACGACTAATCTGCCACCAGTAACCAATTCTTTCCTGGTGTTTAATAAAAATAAACACTACCTACTAAAGGAATCTTTCTGAAATGAAGACCAGCTTGCTGATTACAGATAGATAACAAATTATATGTGACATTTTCTAAACTAACCCCAACCTCTTTATTCATGTTTAGACAGTTCTCAGTAAGAAAGGGATGAATGAAGACAGGACATCAATCACTGTGGAATATTAGCACCTTAAAGATGTCTTTAGCAGGTCAATAATCTTTTCACCTTAGAAGGACTTTATCAGATCTTGTCTTAAGCCTGGATAAAAGCTCTGCATTAAGTACTTCTAACATTGACAGTGTGCCTCCACCACACAAAGCTGTTTTCTTCCTCAGGGTGCAATCCTCAAGGTCACAATTCTTTGCAGCTTTCCCGAATGACAAAGGAGCATTACCAGTGGCCAAACAAGCTGTCAACACAAACTTTGTCATAGCTCAGATAAAGAAACTGGCAGACAGTGATAATAAGGTCTAATTTCTCTCCTTCCCATGGGAGGTAAATAGATTTCAAATCAGTCTAGAAACCTACGTGCAGGAAGCCATGTTATCTTTGGCCATTCAAAAGAGAAAAGACTCACTGTAAATTCATCTAAAGGTTCATTGATTTCGATGTCCAACACTTCATCACTGTACAGCTGCTCCTCCTCTGGCTCATCCCCATATTCTATTTGGTCTTCTGTCAATTCTGCGTCATGGCCTTCATACTGTCCTTCTTCTGGGTACTCCTGAGTATACAGTTCTTGTTCCTCTGGTTTGTGGTACGCTAGCTCATCGTCTCCTTGTTCATACTCAGACTCCTGTTCTCCAGATTGGTCATTGGTGTTGTCAGACAGCTCAAATGATGTAACTATGCCAGAGGTGGTATTCAGACTGATGGTGACACCCTGAGAACTAGATGACAAAACACAATGAAAGACACACTGAGGAGGCTCAAAGCTAAATCATTGCCTAAGTGAGTTATGAGAATCATGGGAAACAAAACAGCCCACTGGGTGAGTGCACTCTAACAATCTGTAAAACACAACTGCATTAGATTTCAAGTAGCCCAGGGCCACTGACCCACAATGCAGACAACATCTTCACGTGTTAGCTCTGTTATCTGACTAAAAAAATGAAGTCAGCCAGATGAAGAAGTTGGTCTGGTTTAGAAACATCCAAGGCTAAAACTAAACACTTTGCAATTCCATCTATATATTCCATCTTTTATAAAATGGAACAGTCGGACTCTGCCTGGTAGAACTGCTAACAGAAAACAAGAGTACTACTCTATACTCAGAAAAAGCATAGAATTATTTTTAAGATTCATTTACATTTATCTTTGGTTTGTGTGACTGCCTGTATGTACATGCATTGCATGTATGCCTGGTGCCCATAGGCCAGAAGATAGCACAGGATCCCCTAAAAGTGGAACTACAGATAATTAATTGTAAGTGCTGATACAGATGCTAGAAAACAAATGGAGAGTCCAAGTGCACTTAACTGCCGAGCCATTTCTCCAGTAACCAGAGATAGAATGGTGGGAACAATCTGGTCACCCCCTCCCCCTCAAAGCTGTAATGATGTAAATTATAAGCTCTTCTTTAGAAAATCAAAACATTAAATATCTGTGTAGAAGTACATCTTAACATTCAAATAAATGCTAATCACAAATATATTTTAAAAAAATAAAGATACACCACCAGCTGTGGTGGCTCATCTATAAACCCAGCACTCAGGATGCTGACACTGGAGGATTGACATGAGTCTGAATAGCCTACAATACAATACGATCCTTGTATCAAAAAACTAAACTCAACAAACTAGCAATTTCTTCATAAGAGAGCAAAGGGTCTTAAAGCCACAAAACCCATATTATACGTTAATTGTTATCACTACCTACTAAAGTGCAAACATTTCAAAGTAAGAGTTCAAATGCAGGGGCTGGAGACAGGGTTCAGCTGTTAAGAACACTGGCTTATTCTTCTGGGGGACCCAAGTTCAAGTCCCAGTACCCATATGGCTGCTCACAACCATCTGTATCTCCAGCTTTAGAGGTTCTGATACCCTCTTCTGGTCTCAGAAGACACACAAATGCTACACAGACATGCATTTAGACAAAATACTGTATACAATTTTTTAATTAAGCTAAATATGTACACACACACGCGCACACACATGAGATTTCAGATTCAAGACCACAAAGTAAATCTGTGCTCACAGTAAGTAGCCTATACAGCAAAACTGAGCATACCATAGACTTCAAACATGTGGCCAAACTCCAAAGATAAATTTCAAGGTCAACTTCACTCAAAAGATCTAAATACAATTCGTGATATCAAAGAAGAGAACTGGCAAATGCATCTTGCTAGTAGAATAAGTATACTTTTAGTCACAAACCATGTGAAAAAAACAGGTTTCAAATCTACGGCCTTCATATGATGTATCTGCAATCACATTTATAACCCAGAAGGATGTGTATATTTTTCCCATGTTTCCTCCTAAAACAGAAAAATGAGTATTTCTAAGTACTTCTCCAGAGTGGTAAAGGAAAACCAAAACAGCAACATCCAATTGTAGTTGCCTGCATCAACTCAGAGCCACTCCACTCCACTCCACTCCAAGCAGACAGCACTGAGCTTTCACGCCTGCTCTGAAAGGTATGCGTGACTTTAAGCCAGTGATCTATTTATGGGAACAATCTATATGGCTTCCACATCAGAATACAACAATACCTCATTCAGAATAAGTTCAATACCACATTATCCAACTACTCATTATAATTATAAAATATATAAACAATTCTCATCCATTTAGTTAAATATGCTCCAGTTTTAATGAGTTAATATTGAATACCTGAAATTTTCTTCATCTTCGTTATCACTCTGTAAAAGATCATCATTCAGCTCTTCATCTGACAAATCCGACTGATTCTAATTAAAAGAAGAAATCTAATTAATCTGTGTCAGTTCGGTAAGAAGACTTGTTACCAAGCACAAGCTTACCCTGAGAGGGTTGTTTCTAACCTCCTACTGCTCAACCTCTTGCCATCTAGGTTTGCTCAGTCTGGCACTGCCATAGAGAATCTGGAGAGCCCACATACAACCTACTGGCTAACTCCTGAGAAACTTTTAATGCCACTGACCAGTAGGTATCAAGCAAGCATAATGGTCACATTATAATTCTAACATAAAAGAAAAAGGTTACTAAGTAAGACATCCCTGGAAGGGAATTTAACAATTTCTCCTTAACCAAAATAAACAAGAATGGCTGTGTAGCCTGGCACAATGACACAATGTCTTTAATCCTAGCACGTGGAGGCACAGGCAGGCAGATCTCTGTAAACTGAAGGTCAGCTACAAAAAGAATGGTAGCCTTAAAATGACTAACAATGACAGAAACAAAAATCTGAAGTTTTAAACAAGATAAGAGATACAAATCTGATACAAACTATTTTTAAAGTCATTGGATCAGAAATTAAACCAACTAGAAACATAACTTCAGCTTTCCCAAACAGATGACATTAAAATACGAAAAACAGCTCAGGTCTTCCAATGTTGTCTGTCACCCATCTCATTAGTATGCAGAGGCATCAGAGTGATCTGCTAGAGTTCTAAATTCTAGGCTGGGTTAAACGTGTATCAATATTCTAGACAGAGGGGTGGTTCAACGTTCTTCCTCTACTAATAGTATTCCTAAGCCTAAAATGGGCATATCCTTCCAAAAGGCAGGCAAACACACACACACACACACACACACACACACACACACACACAACTTTAAGTGAAAAAAGAAAAAGTGATTTGATTTTTTACTTCTTAAATGAAACAATAAGCGTCTGACATCTACAGCTTGTAAAATTGGTTAAACGTAACTGTGTATTTTTTATTACACTACATGCAATAGTCAAAAATAATTCTAGGAAAATATATTAGCTCAAAACACCTTATCTATCTCAACAGTCAAATAAGCTACCCAAAGCTATGCTTCCAACACAGCAGGATAGATCTATAATAAACAGATCTATATAAAACAAATCTTCTTTAGTGATATAATCAGCCATCCAAACAGTAAAGAAAATAGTAAGACGCAATGGTCCCAAACAACAAGGCACACAGAGTGGCAGCTTACAAAAATCCTCTGCCCCATCTTCCCAAGAGAAAAGAAAAAACTCCCCTCCAAAACTCCTAAGAATGAGGACTTTCAATAGGACAGCAGTGTTTTTAAAATGAGGACAAAAGGATCCTCAAACACTGGCATTTATGACAGAGACCCTGTCTTATGGTTTTGCTGCTGTGAACAGACACTATGACCAAGGAAACTCTAATACAGGACAACATTTAATTGGGGCTGGCTTACAGGTTCAGAGCTTCAGTCCATTATCATCAAGGCAGGAGCATGGCAGCATCCAGGCAGGCATGGTGCATGAGGAGCTGAAAATTCTAAATCTTGTTCCAAAGGCAAACAAGAGAAGACTGGCTTCTAGGCAGCTAAAATTAGGGTCTTTTTTTTTTTTTTTAAGATTTATTTATTTTATGTGAGTACACTGTAGCTGTCTTCAGACACACCAGAAGAGGGCATGAGATCCCATTACAGATGGTTGTGAGCCACCATGTAGTTGCTGGGAACTGAACTCAGGATCTCTGGAAGAGTAGTCAGTGCTCTTAACCACTGAGCTGTCACTCAAACCCCAAGAAGTAGGGTCTTAAAGCCCACCCCCACAGTGAAACACTTCCTCTAACAAAGCCACACCTCCAACAGTGCCACTTCCTGGGCCAAGCATATTCAAATCACCATAGACCCCTTGGTGTACCAACCTGTCCAGATATGAGGTGTTGTCAAAGTAAAATGGATGGAAGAACTTAAAACAGCAGCCTGGCTCCCCCTCAACCATCCTCTTCCTTCCTCAGATTGCAGTCTTGCCTTTCAACATATTTAAACCTGGCCCCAGATGCTCTGCACTCTGTCACAAGGGCCTAAATGTCACTCAAATGCATACCTCTATATATTTCACTAGTTCTGGTGGAAAGCAGTGTTAAGACATCTAGTCCAGTCTCAGACATGAGCAATAAACTTCATAACAAAAACCTTAAGAAAGGTTCAATCATATCAGAAATCAAGTATGAACTAAACAACCAGTAATCATTAACATCAGTCACACTGACAAAGATTCTTTTTTAAAAGCAGGATCATATCTTTGGAATTTGAGATGAAGGATACCAAGATGAAGACTGCTACTAGGAACAAAAGCTAATCAAACATTTCTGGGGCTGGAGAGATGGCTTAGCAGTTAAAAGCACTGACTGCTCTACCATAGGTCCTGAGTTCAATTTCCAGAAACCACATGGTAACTCATTACCAGCTGTAATGGGATCTGATGCACTTTCTGGTGTGTCTGAAGACAACTACAGTATACACATATACACAAAATAATTATAAAAAAAAAAAAAACATTTCCAGGATGTGACTTGGCAACATAAAGAATCTTGAAATGCCCATATCCTGAAACCAGAACTGGCCCCTGACAAGACTTCCAAAGATCCCCAAAACAACTTATCTGAAGTGCCCGTCAAAATAACCTAGGCAGTCAGATTGAATAAGTAAAGTTGAAGCAAGATTACCTCTAACTAAGCACTGATGGTGCTAGGTAAAGCCCCACCAGAACAAATTATACCATTCTCTGTTCTCTCTTCTTCCTTACACATTTTTGTTTTCTCTGAAGAGTCTGAAGTAAATACATACCTTGGAGTAACCACAGAAACAGTCAATGTGATCATGGTGGAAGCAAAGTACTAGAAGGGAGTATAGGACACAGGAGCTACAAAGGGAAAAGTGAGAACAGAGGGGGAAGTGCCAGAGAGGAGGACTGGAAATGCCATAGGGAGATACATTATTTCATGATTACCTAAAAAGACACACAAATTGCTGGGCATAGTAGAAGCAGAGGCAGGCTCTTTTAGTTAAAGACCAATGTAATCTACATAGTGAATTCCAAGACAGTCAAGGCTATATAGAGAAACTGTCTCAAAAAGCAAAATAAAGCCAGGCGGTGGTGGCATACGCCTTTAATCCCAGCACTTGGGAGGCAGAGGCAGGAGGATTTCTGAGTTCGAGGCTAGCCTGGTCTACAGAGTGAGTTCCAGGACAGCCAGGACTATACAGAGAAACCCTGTCTCAGGGAAAAAAAAAAAAAAAAAAAAAAGCAAAATAAAACAAAAGCATGCATATATAGTAAGTATGCATATACATATATAAAGAATTTGAATGAAATTACTCCACTAGAATAATAATGCTCTCTCGAGAATCATGGACTATTTAACAGTGCCCAGCATGAGAAACCTCCCTTTGAGCTGTTGGTCAGGGGAATCCAAAGAGACTCCTCAAACAATAAATGCAGGTGCCATCACCTTTGGTTGCCTCCTAAAACTTAAACCTATTGCTAAAAACATCACACATTTCCAAGAGAGAACTCGAAGGAATCAAGCTAGGACTGACCATGAAGAATAGCTTTATAAAGATGCTTTATAAGCTGCCAAGAGGGGAAAGTAATTAAAAGTTCTATCCAGCTGTTAAGCCTACAAATTACAACAGTGACCAGCATGGCAAGATACAGCCAAGGATGCAATAGTGGCTTATATCTCAAGGGAAACCAACAACCACCTAATTAGACTTAAGGCCTATTCAACTGCAGAAAACTCATGCATGAAAACTGCCCAACTAGCCAATTGGTCTGTAGTTGGTGAGGTCATGGACCCTAGAGGAAGACCTATTTCTGCCACTTTTCCTAAACCAGTGTATCTTAGTTAGGCTTTCTAATGCTGTGATGAAATGGCATTACCAAAAAGCATAAGCTGGGGAGGACAGGGTTTATTTGGCTTACACGTCCACATCACAGTCCATCACTGAAGGGAGTTACAGGGACTCAAACAGGGCTAGAACCTGGAGGCAGGAGATGATGCAGAGGCCATAGAGGACTGCTGCTGCTGACTGGCTTGCTCCAAGGACTTGCTCAGCCTACTTTCTTTAGAACCAAGGATCACCACTCAAGGGATGGCACCATCCACAATAGATTAATCCATTCAATCACGAATTAAGAAAATGCCTTACAGCTGGATCTTATGTAGGTATTTTTCTTTTCTCTCTCTCTCTCTCTCTCTCTCTCTTTTTTTTTTTTTTTTTTTTTGGTGTTTTCGAGACAGGGTTTCTCTGTATAGCCCTGGCTGTCCTGGAACTCACTCTGTAGACCAGGCTGGCCTCGAACTCAGCAATCTGCCTGCCTCTGCCTCCCAAGTGCTGGGATTAAAGGCATGTGCCACCACTGCCAGGCAGAGGTATTTTTCTTAATTAAGGTTCCCTCCTTTCAGATAGCTCTAGCTTGTGTTGACAAGACCAACCAGCACATAGTGTAATCCCAGCTTCATTCAAAAAAAAAAAAAAAAAACCTATCCTTATATTCACAAGTGTAGCTCTTACCCCTCACCAAAAAAGGCTTCTTTTGGCAGCTGACCAAGATCATTACAGAAATCTACAACTGGCCTTCAACTGGTGAAAATGTAGTAAACAATTGACTGTGGGGTACCATTCCTAGCTGATACATTTACTACACAACCCCTACACCAAAGGCTTGGGGAACTTCTGGGATGTGAGCGTAATATTATTGTGCACTGTGTAAAGATTATCCTTGTATTATTCAAATGCTGGTATCTATGCCCCATATCTGGTTACAAAACATTGCTCCTCAATGATTCCCTGAATGATTCCCTCAATGATTCAGCTGAAGCTGATCAGCCAATGACTGGGCAGGGGAGAGAATAGGGCTGGACTACCTCCCTGCCAAGGAGGCGGGAAACAGAGGAAGGGGGAAATCCCCATGGGGACAGAGTCCAGGAGAAACCATGAGAAAACACCCAGAACCCAGAGAGCCAAATCAGAACTGAAATGCAAGGATAACTGGGATTTTGACTAGGAAGTAGCCAGATTAGTTTAGAGGATTTAAATATAGTTATACTGCTCATTTGTTGTACCCTTAAAGCTTACTAAGTAAATATAATAGTGTAGTCTCCAATATTTGGGAGCTAGCTGGGTTAAGAGAAATTTCAACAAACATTTATAAGTAGCGATTAACACTGGGAAGAGAGGGTAAGAAAACTGTAAGAGCCGGTGAACCAGGACATTAACAATGAGACACTGTCTCATACATACAACAGTGCCTCATACACACACACAGACACAAACACAGACACACACACACACATGTACCTACCTACCTATGTACGGACGGATGGACAGATGTATGTATGTATGTATGTATGTATGTATGTATGTATATGTATGTATGTAGCAGGGAGTTGCACCATGAATTCTTAACAATATGGCCATCTAAATAACACCTGTACAATGACAAAAGCTGACATCCCAATATGGACAGGGGAAATCTTACAAGGTCCCACACCAGGCTGCTAAGGATGAAAAAAAAAAAAATCAAGGAACAAGCTCTCCTGATAGGTTATCTAGTCCCAAGTGGTCAGCCTTAAACACATACATATAAGCTATATGGACTCAGTGGGTTGTGTAGGTGTGTGTGTGTGTGTGTATTTATAACAATAATTAAAGAAAGAACCTCAGAGTAAGGGAGGTATAGGAAAAGCTGGAAAAGAAAAGGGATGGGGTGGGGTTGGAATACAGTAGTCATATACAAAATTCTCAAAAAGACATTTTTCTTAAACTATGTTGGCATTTTTAAAGTTGCTATGATTTAGAACTGCTTAACTGTTCCCTGGATTCATGTGTTGAAATGGGAAGGGTTGCATCACCCCCAAACTAGGGAACATGTAGCTAATGATCAACAGAAGCAGAACTGGGACACACGGGGACACACGGGGACACACGGGGACACACACACACACACACACACACACACGTGCACGCCATGACAAACAGAGTAGACAGAAGGATGGACACATTCTAAGTCATATTCTAAGTCATATTCAATTCCTACAGAAAATGCTGATGAGGCCTAAGAGTTACAGACAGAGTGACAGCAGGATGGGGATGAATCCACAGCCCAAGACTGCAAAACTGTCTGAAAGTCTTCACTGAACATGTAAGGAACTTTAGTATGAACAATGTGAACCCTAACAATTTTAAGACTGAAAATAAAGTATGAAGAATTACACTGAGGACCTGGGGAAAGGACTCAATGAAGTGCTTGCCACACAAGCATAAGAACCTGAGTTCAATCCCCAGCACCATGAGCCTAGAACTCCACCATTGCAGAGGTCAAAAAAATATAAGGTGGCAAGCAATTGAACAAGACATGTAGCAGCAATCTTTGGCCTCCACATGCATACATGAACATACACAAGCACACACATGCATATACATAACATCCCTCTCATAAACACTTGTGCATACTTACAATCAGCAGTAATGCTTAATTAAGCATATGTTAATGCTAAGTGTGATAGTCTGTATATGCTTGGCCTAGGGAGTGGCACTGTTAGAAGGTATGGAGTAGGTATGTCACTATGAGTGTGAGCTTTAAGACCATCATCCTAACTGCCTGGAAGCCAGTATTCTGCTAGCAGCCTTCAGATGAAGATGTAGAACTCTCAGTTCCTCCTGCACTATGCCTGCCTGGATGCTGCCATGCTTCCTGCCTTAATGATTATGGACTAAACCTCTGAACCTGTAAGCCAGCCCCAATTAAATGTTGTCATTTAGAAGACTTGCCTTGGTCATGGTGTCTGTTCACAGGAGTAAAACCCTAAGACACTAATTGAAAACAGAAAATGTTTTTAAACTATTTAATAAACCAAAAAATGTTAATTCCCTTTAGGGGAACCAGGGAAGTGGCTCAGTGAATATACCACTCACCAATCAAGGGCTAGAATTCAGATTCCAGCACCTATTGAAAACCTCTGTGGGCATAATGGTCCAGTGTGAGCTCAGCATACGGAGGCAGAATCCCTGGGGCGAGATGACTATCTAGACTAGCTGAATCAGCTAGAGACCTGGCTTCAGTAGAATAGAGAGAAGATGCACAGTGTCAGCCTGACCTCCCTCCCCACAAATATATAGGAACCTGCAAGTACACATACCACCTGCCCACAAAAAAAAAAAAAGAAAGAAAATTCTCACTTTCATCTCTTGCTTCACAGTTCTAGTTTTTACATGATTTCATAAAACAGATTGGAAATATATTACTAGACAGACACACATATTAAAGATAATGCTTCAAAGGTACTTAATCAAAATGTCTAGAAAAGTTTCCATTGAGAACTTCTAACTATTTATATGCGAATCTGTTACATGATATAATTTGGTAAATTTACCTGTAGGCTGTCAGTGAATATTCCCAGAAGTGCCTTCTAGAACCAAGATGTAAAGTATCAAACCTATAATGTCTCATTCCTTTAAGGTAAATACGTGTTTTATGCTACTGTTATCCCGATTCTGATACTTGCTAGAGTGCATTGGACACAGTAAAAACTAAACTACTTGCTCTCCATGGTAATATCCAAAGCATTTACTAATAAGCAGCCATTTTGCTGGGCTGGAAGTGTAACCCTAGGGCAGAACACATGCTGAACATCTGTGAGGCTCTGGGTCAATCTACAGCAACAAAACAATCACTCCATTTACAAACTTCTGGTCCGTGCTCAGCTTTCTAAAAATCTACCCCATACACAAGTGACGGTAGTGTATCCCTGTTTTAGGTATAATCAAGGTATAAGTAATTCTTGTAAGCAATCTTATTTGTTGGTTTTGTTTTTTGTTTGTTTGTTTGTTTTTACCTTTTTGCCAGACAGTAAATCTTCTCCAAGCAAGTCATCTTCCAGTTCACTGGGGAAAGAAAAATGCAAAATGTCACTTCAATTAAACTAGAAAATGAACAGTAGTCACTCAGAAATCCAGTAAAGGCTCCAGGGTATGAGAACTTCCAGGTAGCTACACTTTCCTTCCTCTCCAAAAAAGAATAGATACTCTAGGATACATGAATAAGTCTGTCTGTCAGCTAAGGTCAGGCTCAACACAGAAGGTGGCTTACTAGATCTAAGCTCAGCACTGTATAGAGTATTTTATTCCCTTTGAGCCTTCTGAATAATCAGCAAAATGAGAAATATATACAAAGAAACACCTAAAGCTTTCCTGTCTTTAAAACTTATGGTGTAAAGAAAAAGGTGCTCAATATCATTCATCAGGAAGAAACGCGCCCGAAAAGGTGGCTCGGCGGTTACGAGCACCTCCTGCTCTTGCAGGTGATGAGTTCAGTTCCCTGCACCCATGTCAGGAACTTGAAGTATACCATAGAGGACTCAATATTCCTTTCTGGCCTCCAAGAGCAATGTACTCACATGACATGTACACACGCACGCACACATGCACGCACACACAAACACACACACAATTATTTTAAAGAAAAATTTTAAATTATGATGAGATTATAAAATTATATGCAGGAACTAAGGAGTGTGGTATTGAATCACAGTGGTCACTTGCCAGGTTTCCCAGCATGCTTTTGTGATAAAGTGACTAGGAACAGATTTTTCTGTAAGCTCCAGAGGGAACCTTTAACACATCAAGAAGGTTGAAATACTTTCCACTGCCTTAGAAACAGCCATTTCCATTCAGGTATATAGCATATCCTCTCTTCTCCCCATTCCCATTGTTCTCTTTGTTCCCAAAGCAGTTCTGTTTCTACATTCTTATCATTAGCATACATGCGATATTATGGATATAAATACAACATCTAGGCCCCCAAGGCAAAGAAAACATGTCAAAACAATATTTTTGTTAAGTTAAAATGGCTACTACTAGATTCCAGGGAATCAACTTTTTAGAAGCAAAGGTCTTTATAGACCAACGTAAATAAGAAAAATGCAATTAAAGTCGTGATGATCTAGATACAGAGAGGTCCAGGAAAATCTAACTGTACCAATATTCTAAGACTATTTAGGCTATGGTTTAAAATTTCTATAAGTTGAGATTAGCACCAGTACTAAACTATTTTAGTATGTTGTTGAACACGATACTAGAAGCTCTAAGAATGTAGAGATGAAGTTGTAAGAGAAATACACACTTCCATAAAAAGCCTTTCAGAACTAAAAACAACCTGAAAAAAATCACTCACTTTACATGCTAAAGGCTCTGAGTGACTCTAAGTTACCCTATAACTTACCTCATAACTTCACTTCATAAATAGAAATATTGACAAGAGCTTAAATAACCTGAGACAAAGAGAGATTCAAGACAAGGACTTTAAATACTACCTTTCTGACATCTGCATAGTTCCTTCCAACATTTTAAAACCAGTAATGTGGGATTTGACTATCTTCTATGTTACATTCCTACTGTGAGGGCAGAAAAATAAGCTGGCAGCCAACGTCCTATTTGAGAACCTGATTCTATATGACCAAAACCATGCAAGTACCTCCTTGAAAAATGAATTTCTCTCTATGCCACAGCTTTAAGAAATGACTGCATTCAAATTCCAGCAACCACATGGTAGCTCACAACAATCTGTAATGGGATGCCCTCTTCTGGTGTGTCTGAGGATAACTACAATGTACTCCTATACATAAAATAAATAAATCTTTAAAGAAAGAAAGAAAGAAATGGGAAATTGAAGGTGACGTCACTTTCTCAGGACACATTAATTGGGATGATAGTAAGAGAGGTCCTCATAATTATGCCAGAAAAACTACAAAGAATATGCAACTTTTGCTAACAAATAAAAGCATTTGAAAATAAGAAAACGATTTTGAATGACTGTGTTTATTTGTCAGTCACCTGGCTTGTATGACAGCATAGCCACTGCTTGAGAACTCAGTCTACTGTCCTCTGGTTCCTATCCATTCTAGACTCTTTCAACTTATTCTGGACTTGGACTATGTCCTCCAGGATTGGCTCACACAGATATTCCCACCTGCAGCTTCTGAATTCAATCCCAGACCTGGCCTCCCCTGGGGCCTAGACAGGAACCACTACGTTCTGGGTGGGTGCCCCTCATTCCTTAAGCCTGCTCCCTAAACACCCCTCCATTAAATGACTCTCAGTTAAGATCTCCTCAGTGTGTGCCTATCTTGCTTGAAAAAAAATTTTCAGATGCTGAGTCAGCATCACCATATTCTCTTGCAAATCTCCACTGATACAACATGACAAGAGGTTTTCATAATAACCACTCTTCCAAACTTCTCCATTATGCATCAGACAGAAGGTGTTTGATACTTAAACAGTATCAAAACATGCAAAACACAGAATCTAGAATGTGCAAACATCATCCTGCAGACCATGTGGGAAAGAAGCTGATTTACAAAGACAACTGCTACCCATACTGAGGAGAGTAATAAAACCATGCTTCCTCACACCATGACCAACAACATAGCAGGAAGGAAGGAAGCTGCCAAAAACTACAAGTTCCAACAACAGGCAGACTCAGGAGCCAACCGGTATAGATTCTGACGGACTATTAGAGCAGTCTGACCACCATAAGAGACTTAACTACCACAGATTAAACACAACTGACATAAGAGTCTATGCTTTAAAATTATTATAAACCAATGCAATTCAGAAGTGGAAGATGTTATAGGTAATGACTTTGGAAAAGAGCAAATGAAAATCTCCTGTTGTACTGGCTGGTCTTGTGTTTCAACTTGACACAAGCTGGAGTTATCAGAGAAAGGAGCCTCCCTTGAGGAAATGTCTCCATGAGATCCAGCAGTAAGGCATTTTCTCAATTAGTGATTAAGGGTGGGAGGGCCCAGTCCATTGTGGGTAGTACCATCCCTGGGCTGGTAGTCCTGGGTTCTATAAGAAACCAAGCTGAGCAAGGCAGAGGAAGCAAGCCAGTAAGTAACATCCCTCCATGGCCTCTACATCGGCTCCCGATTCCTGATTTGCTTGAGTTCCAGTTCTGACTTCCTTTGGTGATGAACAGCAATGGGAAGTGTAAGCTGAATAAACCCTTTCCTCCCCAGCTTATTTCTTGGTCATGTTTCTACAGGAATACAAACCCTTGACTAAGACACCTACCTAATCTGTGCCTCGGAAGAACTTCCTAATTAACAGACACACTACAGGAAACAAACCACTGTGACTATATTAAATCCTCCCGAAGTGTTTGGCTCCTAGTGGAGATATAAGACTGACACGAGAGGTTTCCACATACCAACTCGCTAAACTAAGACTTCAGTGTGAACAAACTTCATACCTATATTCATGTACATAAAACACAAGGGAGTTGGTTAGACTATATACAGATAAGCAGCCAAGCAGAAATCCTAGAAAACATATCATTTTGTTTCTTCAACAAGAACTAAAGGCTTCAGTTCTGATGAATGACCTCCAAAGGCTATGATTCAGTTAAAATCATGTGTCCAGGGCAGTGCTGTCGAAGGAAGTGGGACTGAGTAGATAGGGACTAGTGAGAGGTCCCAGGAAACAGTGGTACATGAGTATGCTGGCTCATAACATGAGTGGTTTTACTTGGCCATGTGCCTCTTCCATGATATGCTTCCTCACCAGAGGCCCAAAGTTAATGGGGCACTCAACTACAAAGTGGAGCCTCCAAAACTATGGGGCACCCAACTTCCTATGTTAACTGTCCAAGCACTTCACTGTAGCAACAGACAATGCAAATGGGAAGAACCAATACTTTAAAATGCAGACCTTTATCTGGAGTCATTTCAAATCGTAAGAAAGGAAACACATACCTGCACTGTGTGAAAATGCACGGATACAGGCAGACATTCAAACGTAACAGGTAATAGGGGAAATATGAACAACAGTCAGGCAATGCACAATTAGGAATTTTCCTTAGATGCAATATGGCTGTATGTGTAAATACTCTGTATTTTAAAAAATATTCTCAAGTGTTTCCAGGTAACCTACATCTGATTTGAGGGGTTTGCAGACTGTATTAGATAAAAACTGATAATCTCCCAAGTTGGCTGACAAAATTGGGTTGACAAACACTGGGTTGACAGTGCTCTATTATACTTCCACATATGCATGAAAGTCTGAATAAATTAAGTACTGCTCAGTGCAATCAAATTCGGGTAGACTGTACTCTGTTGAAGACAATTAACTTTGTCCGAACCATACAATAATATATACCTCCCCTACCTCCACCCAAATAAGATACATCTCTTTCACACCCTAACAGTCCTCTCTAAAATCCTGACTGAGCACTGAATAAGTAAGGAAAGGCTAACTAATCTACCTAGGTTGTTCATCCAAGCATCCATTGTACATCATCCTGTAAACTTCTAGGCACTTGTTCTTAAATGCGATCAGCCCATAGCCATAGTATATTTTTTGTTCATTTGCCTTAGCACGTAACGCACCCAGCCTGTGCACCTACAGCATGCCTCCTCTAAAAGCAGAGCTCCCCCTAGAGGCACCCACCACTCCACTGTGTGCGCAACTGTGGTTTATAAAGCAGGCACATTCACCTGCACTAATTAATAGTTAGGGAAACAAAATTAAAAGTTAACTGATATTAAAATGGCAAAATGTTTAAAGTCTTGCTAACTACTGGGTAGGATATACACCAAAAGGTACTGTGGCATCCAAATGTTTCTAGAAACAGAGATAAAGCAGGTATATGCTCCATACAGCCCTTACAACATAAACTTGGACCTGGCCCTGGTGCAGCCTGAAGAGACCTCTCATCAGTCTAGCAGGGAGGTTCAGGAGGACAGAGCACCAAAGCACTAGCACACTATCTTTGGTAAAGATCTCTGTATCCAGTACAGGATCACAGACATCACCCAGGGCACCATGGGGAGCCCAGGTGTACACATACCTGTCCCAGTCCTCATCAGCAGCTCTTCTTCTCCAGGACCGTTCTGCACCAGGCTTGTCAAACTGGTCAAAGTCATCATCTGTGAATTAGGGTGCACTCGAGTCAGCTTTGTTAGGTTAACACATATACACAGCGACTGCTAGGACACCAGCTTCCGCAGGAGCCCAGCCTAACCCACCAGATCATCCATATACAGCAACTATAAATCCTTAGCCATGCTGAAGCATTAGATTTTTTAATAAAAGAAATCCAAAATGTATTGACTACTAGGCATGAAAATACAGCAAGAACAGTAATAATATAATGCAATGTACATACACACACACACACAGACAGCAGCAGTGGGTGCTTGGCCGCCATGGGAAGTACTAAGTACACAGTTTACACACACGGCACAGTTCCTATCCCAACATGGTGACAAGAAGTCAGAGATAGCTGAGAAATACACAGAGCCCTTCTTTCTTTTGTAAAATCAAGCTATTACCTATCTTACAAATTTGCTGGAAGTTTAAGTGTGACAATATATATTTAAAATAGGAGAGGCTCCTGATAAATACTTATTTTTAATGTTAAGAAATACTGACAAATGTTTATTTTTATTGTTAGGAAACACTAAAAACTGAAATGAAAGTTTTCATGTGAAGTTGAGCAGTGGTGGCACACACCTTTTAATCCCAGCACTCAAGAGGCAGAGGCAGGCAGATCTGAATTCAAGGCCAGCCTGGTTTACAGAGCATGACAGCCAGGGCTACAGAGACACTGTCTCCAAAACAAACAAACAAAACAAACAAACAAACAAAAAAAGGCTGGAGGGGTTGTGCAGAGTCCACTCAGCCCCAGGCCCCGAACACTTGAGTGACACAAATACCTATTGCCTAGGGCATTTCTCTAGCTCAGACTATAAAATTAACCACTAAGGTTCTAAACCAATCCTTTAACCAGTTAAGACTCCTGAGAGAACATGATAAAAACTGTTTTTAGCAGGGAATACTAGTGCACATCTTTAATCCCAGCACTTGGGAGGCAGAGGCAGATGGATCTCTGTGAGTTCGAGGCCAGCATAGTCTACATAGTAAGTTCCAGGACAGCCAGGGCTACATAGTGAGGCAGGTGTGTGTAGGGGAGGGAGGTTGTGGGGGGGAGGAGGTCCACAGGCTGCTTTTTAAAAATGACTATATAAAGTCTCTGAGATGTACCAAGTGAAATTACAGATTACAGAAATTTACTACATGTTCAGAGCTGTGGCAGCAACAACAGACCCAGTGTTCCTCCAAAATCATAGGGCTCCTTGCCCCTGGTTCTCTAGCTGAGGGCTAGAATCTCTGGTATCTTTCACCACACCCCCCAGCCTACCTGCTACTGAGGCTCATCTGTATGAGATATCAGTGGGGAAGGAACCCTTCTCCCACTTCTCCTACACCAAGACCCACCTGTAGGTAGGACAGACGTTCAACCCAGATGTTCCCTTCAAGAGGGAAACAGAAGCTTCACACTCCAGTCAGCAAAAGAAGCAACAAGAACAGTAAGAAACCCAGGGAGAAGGAGTAGGAAAACCAGCCCTCACAGCCACGCCAAGGTACTACCTCAAACACCCATTCAGGAGGGGGGAAAAATCTCAGCGAAGACACTCAGACCAGCCAAGCTGAAAAGAAGAATCTTGAAATCGGACCAGAGCAGCTGCAGAGTAAAGGTTTAGATCAAGTCACATGAAAAGGACACTTCATACTGAGCTGCCTGCAGGCTGTGCAGTGTGATCTAGGTTCCAGGTTTTGAGCTATAACCCAGGCTAGGGTAGACTTTAGAGATGCGGCTGTCTTTGAAACATCTCTACTGCTGTAAGGAACCTCACCCATATTCCGGTGAGTAAGTAATCTCTATAAAACTGGTTCACCAAGTTCGACTTTGGCGGTATCCATACTTTGGTCTGCAGTCAATTTCTTATCTGGGCTGAGTAGGTATAGGTAGATACATATGCTCATGTGTATTTCCCCTCTCCACAGGGAAAGTCTTATGACACAGCACACTCCAAAGAGAAACAGAAAGGTATAACCCTTCATACATGGAAATAGGAGGGAAGAGACAGCAGAAACTGCTTGAAGAGGTTCATAAGAACATTTAAGTAGCCATCACTGATATGAGGCTTTATGGGGTTGCTGGAAGAATAATTTTCTTCAATGCTACAGCCACTGTTAGGTTGCCTAGTTACCTGTGTAAAAAAGAAAGAGTCCCTCACCCATGTTCATATAACTAACTCCAACTAAACTCGAGTCACCAAAAAAAGAAAAAGACACAAAAAACGGTGGACTAGCTGGGAAGATGATCAGTAGGAGTGAAAGGAGACTACACAGGGTAATGAGGGTTGAATACGATAAAATACATTACACACAGTATGAAAAAGGCCTTAATACTAAAATCTATTATTGTATTTAAAAGCATGCTACTAAAATGTAATAGTATTAATTTGAAAATATAAAAAAATACTAAAGAGACCAAAGTTGACATTTCAATTTGTAAAAAGCTTTAAAAGGTACAATGATAGAAGAAATAGAAAGAAGTAACTCTAAACCCATGTGTAGTTTCAGAGTCAAGCAATCTTCCAACACTTAATACTTTTCAAACTCCCCGAAACTTCCTCTAAGAGAGTAGCATAGAGTTAGCCCAGCCCATGTGTGCTCACATGTAAAGACAGTTCAAACAACCTCTGTAATCACAGATTACAACCTAAAATGAAGGAAACCTGATGCTTGGAGAAGGAAGGCTCCTCTCTTTAACAGGGCACATACATGTTTTCTCTCTTTAACAGGGCATACAGAGGAAGAAACTGTGGGCAAAACAGAGAACAAATTTATAAATGAAGGCGGTACTGAACCCAGGAATGCATGGTCTGTTCAACACAGAGAATCTATTAACACAACACTATGTTAAGAAACTGGAAAAGAGGCTGGAGAGATGGCTCAGCGGTTAAGTGCACTGACTGCTCTTCCAGAGATCCTGAATTCAATTCACAGCAACCACATGGTGGCTCACATCCATCTGTAATGGAGTCTGACTCCCTTTCTGGTTGATGTGTCTGAAGACAGCTACAGTGTACTCATATACATAAAATAAATAATTTTAAAAACAAACAAAAAGAAACTGGAAAAGGGAGATCCATGATTACCTCTGCAACCAGAGAGATATTTGATTCAAACACTATCAACAACCTATATAGTCACATTCAAGATAAGACATTTAAAAATCAGCCACTAAACTGTAAATCAAGACAAAGAGATCAGGCCATCTCTAACCAACCACTGTACTGGACTTGGTATTGGAGGGACAGCCAATACTTTCTATCCAAGTACCTGGCTTCCAAAATAGACATAGATGAAGATACAACAAGTACAACTATATAACTAGAAAAAAATTCCAAATTATTAAAATTATTAAAACCAGAGTTGTAACTGTCACAATTACCAAAGTGTCCTGGTTAGCATTCTGTCAACTTGACACAAGATAGGGTCATCTGGGAAGAAGGAACACATTTGAGAAATGTGTCATCAGACTGATCTGTAGAGCATATTCTTGATATTTGGTGTGGAAGGGTCCAGTCTACTAAGGCAGTAGTGGTCCAAGAAAGCAAGTCATGGGGAGTAAGCTGATAAGATAAGCAGCACTCTTCCATGGCCTCTGCATCAGTTCTTACTTTGACTGATGGACAGTGATGTCAAAGTATATGCTAGAATAAACCCTTTCCTCCCCACAATGCTTTCAGTCAGGATGTCTTTATCACAGCAACAGAAACCCACAAAGGCAACAGGGGAGCTTTTGTATTTTAAAGCACTAAGAAATTTGAGAATGTAAAGGCTGAAAAAAAACAAACTAGGGCTAGAGAGATGGCTCAACAGTTAAGAGTTCAATTCCCAGCAACCACATGGTGGCTCACAACCATCTATAATGGGATCTGATTCCCTATTCTGTCATGTAGGCATACATGTAACTAGAACACTCTTTTACATAAATAATCTTTTAAAAAAACAAACCATAGGGTTGGAGATATCTCAGTGGTTTGTTTAGCACACTGACTGCTCTTCCAGAGGTCCTGAGTTCAATTCCCAGCATGGTGGCTCACAACCATGTGTAATGGGATCCGATGTCCTCTTCTGGCGTGTCTGAAGACACACAGTGTACTCATATACATAAAGTAAACTTTAAAAAAAAAAAAAACATTGTTTCAGAAAAAAAAAAATCACACCATCTAAAATGACAATATGTCAACTACTGGAAAAAAAAACAAGGGGCCAAAGAGATGGCTACAAGAGGTCCTGAGTTCAATTCCCAGCACCCACATGACAGCTTACAACAATCTGTGATAGGATTTGATTCCCTCTTCTAGTGTGTGTAAAGACAGAGCATTCATATACATTAAATAAATATTAAAAAAAAAAAAGAAACAAGTGTAAAAAAAAAAAAAACTACATGATATAAAACTTATGTTATAAAGGCCTGGGCTATTCACTCAGGCATCCTATATCTAAGTACCTTGCATCCGATGCATACTTAATAAACATCTGATAATGATAAAAAAATAACTTGACAGTGGATCAAAAAATATACCAGATCAAAAAATCCATACTATAAACATACCACTCTGAAGCCAAGCATGGCAATGTATTTATAAGATCCCAGCATCATGAAGACTGAGGCAGGAAGAGGCATGTTCAATACAGAAACAGTGCCTCAAGACACTACCTTACAGAAATTATGTTAACCTATCAAAATCCAAGTCATAATACCAATAATACCAACAGAATTCTGTTGGATTCATTCTCCTGGATGGTGATTATAACATTCATTGTTTTTAATGCACCAGGTTAATCAAAAGGCATTCTGGAAAGGACATGCTGTATTACAAGAACATGTGCATACAACATGCTAATAAGCCATAATATTTAAAAGCTACTAACTGGAATCCCTACATAACAGAAGGATGGGGACGTCAGTACATGGAAGCACAGAAGGCTCAAGTTCACACCATACCCAGAACAAGGCCTTCTGTGTTATACAAAGGCCTGTGCAAAGGAAAGCGGAAGTGACATG